TGAATATTGTTTTTACATTTTCTGATGCTTTCGTCCATTTTTTTTCTATATAGTCGTCCAGTCGGATGATGTATCATCCAGACCCTCTTGACGGAGGCATTCTTCGTGGAAATAGTTTATTGCACACCACTACTGAGAAGCTGGCCGCATTGTCGTGGCCAAAAAAAGCGTAATTAAAAAGAAAACGTTAAAAGCATTTATTTATCTTTTCTTCTCGTGGTGACTCACTGATTGTTTACAGTATTATCGTAGAGGTCGTGTTGAGCGAGTATTTAATGAACTAGTGACTGAAGAAGTACACCTTTCAAAAGAGCACAAATATTCTTCTTGAGTGGCACGCTCGATCCATGCATATTTTTGTATTTTAGAGTAGGATTAGAAAAAAGATATTCGCGAAATACAAAGATAGAGACTGATTAGGAAGCCACGATGTTTTCCACAAAAAGGGCGTCGGAACGAGGTCGAGACGCCATTTCTCGGCGTCCGCAATCTCGCTTTGTCGTCGAATTCCCATCGGTCCCCCCATCCCCCTTCCCCTTACGATTGTCAGCCGCCGAAGACAAGTTATATGCAGAATATGATCTGACTCCGACTTAAGTATATTTAATAAAAGGCTTCGGAGACGTACGGAGCCCGCAAAAGATTCCAAACACGAAAAAGGGAAATATTTCACAGACGTCGGGATTTGCGCGAGGCCCCTGTCTACGACAGAAGCGTCTGAGGGGCGGGGACCGACCACCCCCGGGCCTACGATACGTGTTTTCACTGTTGACAATAAACCGATCACGTTTCAAACCACTTCTGAAAATATAGGCTGGATTGTTCGAGCGCTACATTCGGCAGGGTCGTATTCTTGTCTTAAAATCTGACGTGATATACTTTTTATTCTATGATCAAGTCTTGGAGACCTTCTAACCCTACACACTGTTTATTTATCCACTCGTAAACGATCTGTAAACAATTACTCCCAAAAAAAAATATTCCAATTTCCAGAGTATAGTCGGGTATCATAAATAACGACGAGGAACGAGGGTTGTTTATAAATTCCCTGGGAAAATGACCGGAGACCAACGACTCCTAAATCAACGTTATTAAAATAAGTTTAGAATTTACGAGACCCGAATGCAAATTTACGGCCGCTTTTATCTAGAATAGGCCAGGAAATTTTCTAAAGGACGACGTATTGGAAAAAAAGCGATAAATACGCCAAGAGATAAGGGGGACGAGTGGAGCAATATCAATTTAATAAAGTCGTTCGGAAGCGTACCGGGTGTCCCCAACTCGTGGGGGATCGGCACCAATTCCCTGCTTAAACCGAGTTGAAAGTATCTCCACAGACCAAAAATCATCAAATAAATAATACAGAAGAAAATAAAAATAAAAATAATATTTTTCTTTCTTTAATTTTTGTTTACATTATATTTTATTTAATTATATTGATATCTTATATTTATTTTTAAAAAAACTTCGGTTATAAAGTACCCTCTAGGGACCAGAAAATGTGTACTCTATAAGCGGAAGTACGCCATGAAAAAAAAACACAAAAAAATATATAGGTACGTACATATTTTTATTTTATATAAAAATAGAAAACTAATAAATAATAATATAGGTTTAAAAAAACGAAAGAAACTAAACTACCTAAACTAAAATCGTATCTATCTATATAAACTTTACAATATACAAGTAAAAATACATACTTTATTCTTTTTGAGTAAAAAAATTCGTTAGTTTGGTTTGTTTATTTTTTTCAATACAGATTTCATATTCTCGATCTGCTTTCAGCTTTTCAGGACGCTTGCATAATATCATCAGTTACATTATCACTAGAATGTAAAAAAATTGTAACAATTTTAGCGTTTCAGTATAACTTGGTACTTCATCCTGTTGAATATCATCGTCGCTTTCGTTGCCTGTGTTTTGAGGATCATTGTCTGTAAAACTTCAGCAATAATATCATTATCCGTTGTTATTAAATTGTCATCAACAATTGGGAAGCTATCCAGCTCAGGAAGATACATTTCCCAGTCATCGTCGTCATTATCAATGTTGGTTAGATCTTGGCCGCTATTGCGCGGCCAACTACTTAGGGTGAAGCTCCCAGTCACCGTCGTCATTATTTTTGTATTTCTCGAACCACTGAACCAGAGGTAAGCCATCGTCTGAATCAAACTTATCTTCCGATTTTATCAGACCTGCACGTCGAAAGCAGTTAACATCATTCCAACATGGTGCATCTAATTTTATGGAATCTAAGATAGTGATGTGTAAAGGTTTCTTATTTCCAAATGACTCAAACGATACAAAAAATATCTGCGGTAACATATCTTAAGGCATGCCTCTGCCTTGATGGACAACTGAGGTGCTATTTGGAGGCAAAAACTCTAATCTGATATTAGAAAGTTTAGTTAGTTATAGTTTTTCATCCCAATCCTATAAGAAATTGTTGTCATCCACGCTGGCTGGTTTGACTTATAAGTGATAAGTAGATTTTTCACATTTTTCATGCATCTCGGTCGTTCATATTTCCAGTAACAAGAAGTTTGCATTTTTCGCTTCCTGCCATATTTGCCCAAACCGAAACGGTGTACCTGAACTTCGACTGCTTCCCACCCAAACACTTTCCTCCTCTAAATTTAACGGGTACGATCTGGAGTCATCTTGTAAAGTAGGTCAGTCTCGTCGCCATTGAAAATATCCTCAAAGCTGTAATTTTGTGCAATATCAGGCCACTTATCCTCGAACCAGTTCAGCACAACTTGTTTGTTAACATCTCCTGCTTCACCAGAAATTTTTGCTACGTTTATTTTGTGACGAACTTTAAAACGTTCGAGCCAACCTGTAGAACAACTAAAATCCTCGCCCTACAATCGCCTGGCTAATTCATCGGCTTTCGATTTCAGGGCTGATCCACTTAAAAGAGCTTTATCTACATCTGAACGTATAGGATTTCTAATATTTTTAATCCTGTCACTTGCTTTCTTGATCTTTTCGCGATTACTTCCAAATTGTAGATATTGTTGTTTTTGCCAATTTCTTTTGTTTAGCAATTTCCGCCTTGCAAATGCCACTCTCAATACTTCTAAAAATCTCTACCTTCTCTTTTACAGTTAAAGACTTGCGCCGATCTGCCATTTTAACCATAAACTCAACGATTTTTTCGGGGAACCACCGCTCGATAATCTGGTGTTAGTACTTTATAACCAGAACAATAGTGAAAATATTGTACTTTATAACCGTAGTAGAAGTTATATATGGTACGTAATATCCGATGAAAAATCAAGAGGATTTTGGCCTAACCAGTAAAATATGTACGTAATACCCGGAAGTACATTATATCCCATACACGTTATAATAGTTAGGTAAAAGATGTTTCTTTTTGGAATTTTAGTTTTATACCGCTAATAACATAATATGATCCAGCAATGGATATTATCCGAAAACCACAATTTTTTGGGAAATTTTTATTCTTCTAGGCGGAACTAAAACAAAAGCAGGCGAGTACGTCGCGTTCCGCGACTAATGCACTTCAATGCTCGAAGGGCCGGTCGTAAATTCTAATTTGAAATTTATGTAGGACTTCTTCAACATAGTAATATTCGCAAACTCGGATTGCGACGCTGGTCGTAACATTTTATTAGCTGCGCCTGAATTTATCGCAGAAACTCCCTCGTATACCCCAAAAGAGGTTACCCGAATTTACATAAAAATTAATACGAAAAATTGCCGGCTTTTCGAAGGAAAGTAAAGTCCCTTTGAACTTTGAATCCCCGGTCCATGGCCAACTTGTCCACATTATACTTCTTAAGAACTTCCAATAACTACTTTTTAAATGACTTCTTTAGTCGATGTTGATTTCGGTATTTTTCCCGCTTGTGCAAAATGGTTTCTGGCGTTGTCCATCACCTTCATATTTTCGTGCTTACTTCTTTGACATCTCTCGCAGAAAGCAACAAAGCGTTATATACTCAATCAGCTTCAGAGCCCGCATGTAGTATGATAATTCCTTTGCCCCTCGAAACTGGCACCTTCAACGAACAGTTTCTGTTGTTACCATCAGTCCATCCTTTCTCGACGATATCGTGGTTATCAAACTAGGTCTCATCTAAATATATGATGGGGAAATTTTTAGGATATATATATATATATATATATATATATATATATATATATATATATATATATATATATATATATATATATATATATATATATATATATATATATATATATGTGTTCGAAGTGTTTTCGGAGCGCGAGCATTGAAGATGCCAAGTGAGATTTTGGCGAAACGTCTGCAGGATTCCAGTCGGATGCAAGATTTGCAGGATTCCAGTCGGATGCAGGATTCCAGTCGGAGTTCAACGAGCGAACGGATGATATCCCGGAATATAGTGTCATCATATATATATATATATATATATATATATATATATATATATATATATATATATATATATATATATATATATATATATATATATATATATATATATATATATATATATATATATATATATATATATATATATATATATATATATATATATATATATATATATATATATATATATATACTATATTATGAGATATCATCCGTTCGCTTGTTGAACTCCGACTGGAATCCTGCAGACGTTTCGCCAAAATCTCACTTGCTCGCGCTCCGAAAACACTTCGAACATGCTAAACATGCTACTTTTCCAGTTCAAATCGTATTAACATTAACATTATTCAAACTTTGTAATCGTAAAAATATTTCTTTATGGGTGGGCCCCTTTTCTATAGATTTTATAGTCAGCAATACGTATAAAATTTCTCAATAGAGTTGTCGAGTTGTCGTTATTGTATATATCTTCAATGGTAGCTCAATAGAGTGGCACAACAATGGAATTGTCGTTATCCTCATATCTCCAAGAGACAGGGAATATTTTACAGATACAGGAAACGTTGAATTTTCGCTACGAAACGACATCGTAACGAGATACTCCCTTTTGTTTCAGATCGTCGACGGCAACGCGAAAACCGACGTATCGAATCGCAAAGAGCCGGGCATGTTCTGCGGCGAGAGCGAGCAGCCGCAGACTTTCATGTCGGAGACGTCTTTCGTCAAGGTATTGTTCCACGTGGAAAACTTCACCGATCAGACGTATTTCAGCTTCGACACGAGGGCCGAACAACAGCTTGTCGTCTATCTGAGATATGGCCAGCATCCCGAGCTGTACCCCAACAGACGCGGCGAAGTAGTCCAGGGGTAATATTTTTTTGATTTTGGTTTTCCATACATAACACCTCACAAACATGACGACAGTTAAGGAAACGAAATGTTAACTAAAAACGGGTATGTTTTGCAGGTCTTATTGCGAGAGAAAATTTAAAGACTGCCGCCTGCAGACTTGCTACGTACAGTCGCCGGCGTATCCGGGCGTGTACCCTAGGAATTTGCATTGCAGATACTCGCTCAACACCAGGTTGCCTTTCATCAAGCTTTACATTGAGAACGAGGAGTTTAATATCGACGGGCAGCGGTGCGAGAACATCATGACGTGCCCTATGAGACCGATATCTTCAGGTGTGTAATGGATCAAATGACAGATGTTGTTTTCCATAAGAGTGCCTCCATTTTGTCGAGCCTGGACATCTAAGGGATATTCCAAGATTGTCCCAAGACATCTCCAATTGATAGGTTGAGATAAAATACTCTAATCATTTTCCGGAACCTTGATTTTGGGATTCCATTCCTGGATTCCAATGTTTTCTATAAATTGCTCTCTGCATCGAGTACACATTTTACTTATTTTTCGTTAATAAAATAATTAGTATTTCAATACAATTACTAGCTAAGGAAATTTGTGCATTAAAGTTTTTTCGGTCAGTTTATTTTCCTCTTGGAATATCGCTCGGGCATCTACAAGACATCTCAGACAGGTGACTTCTTGCATTTCATCGAATTGTCTTTGATAATCACGCTATGCTTAGATTGTCGAGTCTCCCGGGCAGGCGACCACGAAATGTTCCAAATTAAAGCTGCCGCATCTTGTAAAGCGTTAATTTGTTGATAAGTGCGAGGTCTGCCGTCGAAAATTCAAATGACTCCTCGACTGACTGACTGCCGCTGAAAGTTTCCGGGTTTAGGTCCGCGAACTCTGCTCCGGACGTCGCTACTTCCTTAATCGCGTTTTGATTTATTAAGATAAAAGACCTCGGCTAGTCTCGGAGAGGCTGGAGTGGTGGGGTGTAATCTAATTCCCCTCGCCTCCCACTCGAGTGCGTTCATTTTTTTTTAAATTTATTTTTACTTTTTTTACAATGAACGATGATGTTGATTAACAATTTTATTTCTAATTGAAGGCATTATAACTACAAGATAATATAGAATTAAGATTCAAAAGATATGTTAACTCACTAAGAACTTTTTTTCAAATATGTACATTATTTCATAATTGCCAAAAGAGTTAATAATGTTGATTGTCAAGTTGATTTCATTAATTAATTTATGAATTATAAAAAGTAAGTTTAGATAAATAATTAATTAATACACTGATAAAACGGATTCCTTGATACGAAGAAATTTGACTTTACGTCAAGGTCGCTATGAATTTGAAATGGACAAATACCCCCATTTTCTTTGGCCTAAAATTATATGAACTCGAAGGAATAACTTATATTTTTCACAGAATATCCAATGATTTTGAGGGAAATACCGTATTTTCTCACAATAAATAAGAACTAAAAGTTCAGATTTTCACGAAATTATATATTTTGACATGACAATTGTTTCGACAACACTGAGTCTTTATCAAATGATTGATTAAGCCACGGTGTTGTCGAAACAATTGTCATGTCAAAATATATAATTTAGTGAAAATCTGAACTTTTAGTTCCTTCACTTTTATCATAACTTCATAATTACTAGATATTTAAAATAGCGTTTTGGGCCACCTACAAAGTTATATTTTAAAAGTTTATTAAGATAAATTTCCAAATAAATCTGTAATTATTTGGTAATTAATTTAAACTTAATTTGTTTTAATAAATTGTATAAACAAGAATACGATAAATAATGAGACTGACTTATATGATAAAATTTTTGTTATAATAGGGACTTACTTTATTTTCCTTACTTTATTTTCTTATTCTGTATTCTGTTCTAAAAAAATTGTTTGTCTTATTATATGCCTCTAAGGCAATGTAAGCTAGGTTCAGCTGTTCACTTTCAATTTTCTGTGTACAAACAGTAATAATAATTGGATAGGCGAAATCTTAAATCGCTTGTCAACCTGAATCTTTTAGTTGAAGACGTAAAACATGACAACAAAATATTAAACGTATATAAAATTATTAAAAACCGGTAAATAAAATGTAACATAACACAACCCCAAAGTGAATTTGTGCCGCCCTTTTGGTATAAAAAAGCCGTAATGCTTCAAATGAAAATAATGAAAATCACCTAGCTGTTCATATTTTTAATTCGCTTTTTTTAGTGTTTAAACTCGTGAGACATTGTTATAAAAAATATTGATTTTATTATAAGAAGGTGGAATTTTCTGCCAAAAAGTTCAAAAAATTGACTTTGTTGTGGAGATATAAGATTTTCTTCCTAAACATTAGCAGTTTTTGAATTTAAGTGCTTCATAATGAAGGACGGTAAAATAAAAAAGGAAATATCTCTTGCTTGTAAATAACGTAATTCGTAGAGAAAATAATATTGTTTAGTTAAGTTTCTCAATAATATAATCTGGTCTAATACTTTCAATTACACTGCATTCCTTAATCGAGGTATTTACTTGCATTTAAAAATCTTCGTCATAGGCTTAAACTTTACCCGTCAGGAAGATTTGTGAATTCCTCTAAATCAGCCTTGATGTTATACCAAAATTGCACAACGCCAACACCGCTGCAGCAGTGGCAATCCGAAAATTAAATTGATTTGTAACCATCATCCAATCCAACCATGACCCAAGCACAACGACACCACACTACAATTGTAACTAGAACATTCCAAAATGGCCCAACCAGCGCGACGTGCGCTGTTTGTCTATAAAGACAAAATCAATGAACGCATTATCTCAAAAGGATTTATAGTATAAAGAATCACAAATTTATTTTACAAAGTTTAATTGTTCACCTGAAGTTTAATTAATTTAAATGTTATTATATGTGGCGACATTAATTAATATAATTAATCTCTTTATAATTACTATAGTTATTTAAGTATCAATACGTGGGGTTAGATAGTTGTCGTGTCACTTTTCCATGCGACCTTCTGTGTTCATTCTGGTTAGTTTCTTTTTTTCCATTTCCATCGGTTATTTCCAGCCCTTCGCTTTTCTCATACCGGGTATACACCTACTTTACCCAATTAAGGCATAGTATTATTGTTGTAAAATATGCACACCTTGCCTTACGCCGTCGTCGTCAGGGCGGAAGCGTCCTCTACCGGGTCTAATTAATACCCGAGCGAGTTGAAACGTCAACTTGTTATTCGTTCCTCAAAAACAAACGGGATCCCTGCAGGCCTCACGTTAATAATACCTCTGCGCGGCGACATAAGGGATATAAATTAAACCGCTTTCCTCCCTGGTTTCTCTTCCGTTTCGCGCGGCAGAACGCATTTTTGTTTATTTTGTGCATAATATGTAAATATAACACCGCTCGAGCGGTTTAGCACCCGGCCGCCCGGTTTCCGTCAGACAGACGTTTGAGAATATACGCAGTGCAAAAAAAAAGTAGTAGATCGGCAAAGGCAGTTGGCAGGGGTCAAAAAATTACAAAGATAAGAAGGACACTCGCCGTCTAGCGGGCGGCACAATCCTCGACACTCAGCAGTTGCGGGCTGCAGTAGCGTAACGCCATATCTTGGACTGCAGCCTTTGGTTGGAATGGCGAACAGTGTACTGAAGAGCCGTGTGGCTGAAGTTAGATTTGGATTCGGATTTACAAATATTATAGTGAACCAGTTCGTTATTTATCTTAATTAAAAAAACATATTTTTCTGGACATGCTGGCAAAGTAATCACGGAAATACTGTAAGGGAACTCCCAAAAACCATATCCAATGTTGCTATACAGAAAATAACCCCTTTTCCGCTCGCATCACTTTGAAAAAATCTGACATTGTCACCTCGAAACCGCCGGGAAGATATAAAACTACCTCCAATAATGGAATACCCATTGCATTCGCAAAAAAATCTGACGTCCCAGATATTCAATTAGACTATTAAAGCGCCACTTAGGAATGCTTCAAAATGATGTATTGCTCAACTACCTCGAAACCAATAATGAGATACCCTAAAATTCGTTTTATTTATTTCAGAATCCCAAAAAAATCTGACTTTGTCCCATTCAATATCTGGGACAACGTCAGATTTTTTTCGGGATTGCGAACTAAATATAACGAATATTTGGGTATTTCATTGTTTGGGTAATTTTATATCTTCCCGACCGTTTCGAGGTGGTTGAGCAATACATCATTTTGAAGTTCTCCTAAGTGGCTCTTTAATGGTCTAATTCAATATCTGGGACAACGTCAGATTTTGTTGAGATTGCGAAAAAAATATAACTAATATTTTGGGTATTTCATTATTGGGGCTAGTTTCAAGGTGTTATCTTCCCGACGGTTTGAAGGTAAGGAGTAATACATAATTTTTAAGCAATTCTAATGGTCCGGTTGAATCTCTGGACAATGTCATATTTTTTCGAGATTGCGAAATAGTAATTCAATTATTTTTTGGGGTGAAGCGAGCGGAAAAGGGGTTTTTTTCTGTAAAGCAATATTGGATATGGTTTTTGGGAGTTACACTTACAATATTTCCGTGCTTACTTACCACTGTAATATTTGCAAATTCGAATCCAAATCTAACTTCAGCCACAAAGGAGTCAGCCAAATAAGGGAGTCGGGAGGCAGTTCTCTCTGCATTGGGAGAGTTTACCAAAATGAAGCAGTCGAAAGTTCTATTTGCGGGACCCTCTATGCCTCAATGCGAAAAGTGTTCTTTCGGTTTCAGTTGTTACAAATTACAGGAGACTGTCATTTAAGAAAGTTTGTATTTAGAGGAGGAGAAAACTCTAACTCAGCTGACGAAGAGTACTGGGAGTCACTATATAGGTCAACATATACATCTTTCGAGTTTTCCGAGGCTCATATTCATCGATCGAAATTTCGAAGATTCCATAATGTCGATGAAAAATACGCCAGCGCGGCGAATAACTTATTAAATCGTTTACCGATTTCGGTAGAACCCTTAAAGTCTTTCATGGGAAAACCGAGTCCTCGGAAAGTGTACAGTAAATTGCGGCTTAAATACCCCCTCGCCGTATTTACATTCAGGATTCTTCTGTTTATCTTTGTCGTTAATTTCCCGGCGAGAGTGACGTCGAATATCCAAACTTTCGTCGTCTTTCCCGTTATTAAATCTGTCGCGGGAGTCTCGGAAGTTCGGACTACGTTTATTATTTTAATTTGAACGTCTCCCTCTCTTTCGTTGCGGAAGACGCGATAGAGGACCGAAGTCAAATCGATTTATTTTTCCATTATCATTAATAATGGGCAAACGCTCTTATGATTGTTGAATAATTATTTAAACATAAAAAATAAAATAACTATTTATTAATAACACGTTAGAAATTAAAATAGTCCTTATTTTCGAATTAAAAGAACACAAATATGCACCGATGAGTTGTAATAAATGGAATTTCATTAGTCATTCATTATTTTTAATAAACCTGTCTCGGAGCCAAAGCAAAAAGTTAGAGTACGTAATCTGTAAAATATGCCTAGGGAGTTATTGATCAGTTTCTGGTTGAAACTCCATTTGATCATACTGTATAGAGAAGTCGCAGTCGATAACAAACAGCAATCGTGGATGACAGATTCTATACAATTGATGATTACATTTAAAAAACAAAGCTTCTAAAAAATTCACAACTAAAAATAAGACACAATGGGACTATACAAATAGATTAGGAAACAAAATAATATTGCTATCTGTATTGATAAGAAAAGATATCTTGCACACTTCATTAATGCAAATAAATCGGACTCAGAACAATTATGGAGCAAACTGAGAGCCATAAACATTCTAAAAAAACAAAACAAAATTGATATTTCTGATCGTTTAAATAATCCTGGCGAAATTAATAAAAATTTCATTATGAACTGCGGTACAATCAAAATACAAAAAAAAGAGTTTAATAGATTGCTTGGTTTTTTTACAGTAACAGAAAACGACGTTAAGAGACATATTCTAGAAATTAAATCTCTTACGATTGGTGTGGATAAATTGAACTTGGAATTTATACTTCTGTGCCTTGATAGTCTTTATCACGAATATCATCAATAGCTGCATAATGGAATCCGTATTTCCTAAAACTTGGAAAATTTCTAAATCAAAGGGTATCACAATAATGGACGAATTAGGACCTAAAAGTATTTTATCCGTGTTTTCAAAAGTTCATGAAAAAAATTATAAAACCAACAAATTAAAGATCGGTCCTCCTCGCAATCGGGATTTCGAAAAGGATACAGCTGCACATCAGCTAACAGACGATATTTTCTTGCATTACGCAAAAGCTTTCGGCAAAATCAATCATCAAGTTCTATTATCAATACTGCACTATTTGGGTTTTCAGTCTGTGCAGTCTCTTTTATGCATAGTTACTGCACTGACAGCTTTCAGTTTGTTGCAAGTAATGTTATTATTCCATGTGGAGTACTCCAAGGCTCAATATTAGGACCTCTCCTTTTTATTATCTATACATACAATTTGAGTAGTTGTTTACAGGACTGCAAAATTCATTCCTATGCTTCCTATGCAAATATAGTGTTCATTTTTTCCGGACAATTTCATCGCATCAACTCGAAATGAATGCTTCCAAATCTTATCTTATGAGCTAATTAGATCTTACCTTCAAATACTTGTTAAAGATCAGCATTTAATTTGCACTGAACTCGCGCGAAATTTGCGACTAAACTTTGTTAGTGATTTGCGTTTCAAGCCCCCCAATAAGCCCATATTAGTTTAAAAAGAATTTATACCAGTAGCACCTTTTAAAAGCTAACCTTAAAATTAGATTCATGGATTCGCTGCTTTTTTCTCATTTTAATTATGCAGTTGCGATTTATGGTCCTTGTTTGGATCAAGAAGATGTAACCAGAATATAGAGAGTGAAAAAGTGTTTACGATTGATCTACGGTGTCAGGCGACGTGATCGCATATCGTATAAACTCCGTGAGCCAAATTGGCTATCAATGGAAAAAGATAGACAGAAAAATTATAAAACTTTTCTTTATAATCAACCTATTAGTCAAAGATAATTAGCCGAAGTAGATTTCTATTAATAAGATACTGCAAATTTCTTTGAAAAACTTAAATTACCAACTATTCACTAGATTTTAATTATAGCTTATAGCACGTGGTATTTTTTCTGTACCTATAATAGTTTTTGGATAGATTTTTGCAAAACAACACGTCAAAATTCAAACTGCGCAGTAAAATCTCCGAAGTGGCTCGGATCCGCGGGAAACGAAACTAACTTGGTAAAGTGACGCTTCCCACACGCTAGCTCGGTGTGTAATTAGGGATTTTACAGACGGGAGTAGAAATAGTATATAAATGCGGCGAACGGCATTTGACTAACGAGTTTATTTGACTCGAGCGGAGCGAGTTTTTAATGAACAAGTGAGTTATGAGTTAAAAAGTTAACCGAACGTGTTGCATACTATACTTTTTCTACGACCGTTAGTTTTTGGGTAATTTTTTGCAAAACAACACGAATACATTCACTGTGAGAATTGACAAACGTCACATTCAAAGCGATATCAATATCTCCGAAAACATCCGATTGCTCCCAAATACGTGCTATAAAATTCCGGAAATGTCCGAAGTGGCTCAGATTTACAGACGGAAATAGAACAAAATTGTTTCCCAGTTCCTTTTTTTGCGCTGTGCTTTTGGTTTACTGATAATAAATAAATGTAAATACGAAGTGCATAAACATATATTATTATTTATTATTATTATTATTTGTGAAATGTTTTCGGGGTTAGTTTTACTAAGTTTGTTTTTTTGTTTACGTTTATTTGTTTTCTCTCGCCGCTACATGCCGTTGTTCTGATACTTTTCGCGTCATTTTGACGTCGCGACGACCGGGGGGTACTCGGTGGGTAGAAACACTCTCCCGCGCAATTTTCTCCAACCGCGTTTATTTCGTTTCGCAGGCCAGGAAAATTGCCCCTACGACTACATAAAAATATACGACGGCAAAGACGAGACCAGCCCCGTCATCGGGACGTTCTGCGGAATGGGCAAGTTTCCTTACTCCATTATAGGAACATCCCAGGACCTCTTTGTCGAGTTCGTGTCGTCGCCTGCAGGTAATATAACCCCTCGCGTTTTGTTTTGTTTTTAGCGCTCCGTAATGGCCTCGGGGGCGGTTGCCGCACTTTCCCCCGGAAAATAAGAATCCGACGACCGCCCCCTCGCATTTTTCTGAGAGCGAGAACTAAGACGTTGACCGGAGTATTTTAGGCGCGAATGGTAGTAATTATTCTATATTTCGCTTTTGCTATTTTTTTGGAATTTTTTTTATTATTGTACACGCTTCACCTAGCCTGATGTTTTGACTAAGAAATTATTCGGGAGCTTCAGAGGAATGTGTTTAATTTAATTAATTTTGTAATGAATGTTAATCAATTAAAAAAACTTACTTGGCGTATTTAAAAACAGTTAAAAAATTTAATGTGTCTGATATCTATTGAAAAATAAAACAATATATATTCACCGCGCCACGAACTAATTCACCTGACCAAGCCACGAAATAATACTGGCTGAATTACAAGTTATGATTCCTAAAATAGAAGTAGATTTCCTAAGCACGCTGTCTACCCAATAATACTAACTTCCCACAAAAGAATGGCACCAAATACAAAACAACCATTAAATTAAACATCAAAATACGGTTTTTATGGAGGAAGGGGTGAAATTAACGCGCAAACCACTTCAGCTTCTTCACCAGGAGTAAAGTTGAAATTTTAACCGTTGCCAGACAATACCACAAAACCAATGCATGAGCAACTAAAAATTGCGCTAAGCCGTTAGGACATGACTATAGACCCACTAGAATTCGGACGTACCAACACGTATACTATGGAACCCTAAAAAATATTGATTAAAATATGGATTGTTGTAAAAAGAATAATGGGACTTTCAGAATTTAAATGTTTATTCGGGAAGGAAAATAATTTACGAATCAACTTCTTTACAATAAGTTAAGTTGATTACTGTTTCGAATGTAGGTTTAAATAAAAGTGAATTATATATTTCACGGCGGAATAGACGTTGTTTGCTAGAAGTGCAACGTTTTAATATTTACAGAAAATACGTGAAACTTGAAGGGAATCTATTTTGCCGGAACATATGTCCCTGTGGAATGTCCGTTTCAGTTAAGCCAAAAGAAAGTCGGTGGAATGAGTAAATGAATAAGACTGAAACCTACATTGCTCTTGTTAATGTTGGCGCCGTATAAAATCCGGCTAATGGTTTTTATTGTTTTCAATTATTACTAATAAAAAAAAAGATTCACTTATAAACTTGTCGGATATCAATTTAATAACACCCAGCACCATAAACACGGCTGCTAAATCGGCGGCACTGAAATCTGGGGAAAACTGAAAGTCTGCGGCCCCCCTTCACCCGCTCCCTCTCGCGAGAGTCGTTAGGGTTCGTCTTTTTGTCGAGGCCGCAAAAATTAGAGCCCAAAATTGCGAGTTGACAATTACAGACGGCTTTCTCTAATAAATGACAAAGTATCGGAGCCCGTCACCTTTAATGAGGGAACCGACGATAAATTTGGCGCTTTTAATTTGGTCGACTGCGACGTCGTCGTCGCCGTCCCTGCAATTTAGGAAAACTCTAAAGGAAAAAATTGGGAAATTAAGAACCTGATGACGCTCAGTCAATTCAAGCAGAAATGCGGTGCCACATAGTGCCAAACGTTTTGTTGCCAAATTTTCAGATATCGATATTCCGGCATGTAATTTTTTTTTATTGTATTTTCTTATAGTTTTATTAGTTTCGTAAATTCACAGAAGGGTTTTATTTACTCTTAAAAACAGTAAGGTGTCAAATGAAAACTTAACGATAGTAGTATGACTAATGTGGTTCTCGGTCAATTTGTGTTTGAGATAGCATCATGGAACACTTTGTATTAAATTAGATTTAGAATTCAGCCTTTATTAAGTGTTCGTGCAAAAACTAATATATCACACGGTAAATAAAGACACTTGGAGGCATAGCCGATCATCTAGCCACCCTTGACATCACAATTTGAAAAAAAAAGATGTTATAATAAAGGACATCAATTAATAACCAGGACAAAGTAGTTCTCCCTTATAATGGGTGTTTTTTTATGTATAGAACTTTAAGTTGGTTGGTTGGATTTAACAGCTGTCAAGTGATTTATTCTCAGTTTGGTTTGAAAATTCATCATGAATAGACTCATGCCTGAACAATGCTTGCAAATAGTGCAATTTTATTTCGAAAATAATGGTTCTGTGCGGAACACGTATCGCGCACTACGTCCATTTTATCATCGACAAAATCGTCCATCAGAGCAGTTAATTCGATTAACCATGGAACGTTTTCACACCACGTTTACTCTTATTGATAACTCGCATCTCCAGAGACGCCGTACGGTGCGTACAGAAGAAGCTATTGCTGCTGTAGAGCGTAGCATTGAGGAAGACCCGAATGAGTCCATCCGCCATCGAGCACAGGAATTGGGTCTGTGTCCATCGAAGATTTTGCGGAAGGATCTTGGTTTACGTGCTTACAAAATCCAACTCGTGCAAGAATTGAAGCCAAACGATCATCTAGTAAGGCGTAGATTCGTCGAATAGACCCAAAACGAGATTGCCGTTGTTCCCGATTTTCATATGCGAATCCTCAAGTCGAAACACCGTTACATCTAGAAAAACTGACTATTTGGTGCGCTTTATGGGCTGGTGGAATCATTGGTCCGTACTTCTTCAAAAACGATGATGACCAGATCGTTACAGTCAATGGTGATCGGTATAGAGCTATGATTACTAACTCTTTCATTCCTGAATTGAATAACCATGATGTCCAGGACATGTGGTTTCAACAAGACGGCGCAACATGTCACACAGCTCGTGCCACAATCGATTTATTGAAAGACACGTTTGGTGACCGCCTAATTTCACGTTTTGGACCTATGAATTGGGCTCCAAGATCTTGTGATTTAACACCGCTAGACTACTTTCTGTGGGGCTATGTAAATTCATTCGTCTATGCGGATAAGCCACAAACGCTTGACCTTTTGGAAGATAACATTCGCCGTCTTATTGCCCATATACGGCCACAAATGTTGGAAAAAGTCATCGAAAATTGGACGTTCAGATTGGACTACATCCGCGCCAGCCGTGGCGGTCATATGCCAGAAATCATATTTAAAATGTAATGCCACAAGATTATCTTTCGGATAAATAAAATTCATGTCAATCGAATAATCCATCGTTGTTTTATTGCAACTTAAAATTCTATACATAGAAAAAAAACACCCCTTATCAACATGTTTAACTAGCATTAAGAGTACTTTTTGAAAATTATTCTTTAAAGACTTGACAGATTAACCTTAATAGTAGCACGGATATCATTCGAGTCAAATCGTCCCAGGCGATTGCGTGTTCTCGATAGTTTATAATAAGTGAACTCTCAAACGAACGTGCTTACATTCTCGCAGGGCCCTTGCTAAATACCGGTTTCCATTTCAACGTGGGAAACTGGCCGGGACACGTCGACACGGCCGGAAGTAGAAACGGCACCTGCGACTGGCTGCTGTCCTCGCAAAGCCTGCGAGCGTCCGGGGATTCCGAGGGCATATTCCTATCGGTGGCCCATTGGTATCCACCCCACACTAGCTGCACATACCTCATGCAGGGCGAGGAAGGCGAGATCGTGCGGTTGTATTTTCCTAGGTGAGTGTGTGTAGTAGATCTCCCGACCGTACATAAAATAGTAAATTTGACGGTTTTTTTGGCGGACGTGTTGCAGCGTAAGGGCGTCGATCCGCTTTTTGATGGAGTATGTGGGTTAGCCGGCACAAAAACTCGCAATCAGCGTTGGGAAACTTTATTTGGTTTAGAATGAATCGGGTTGAGATAATTCCTTAACAAAAAACAATAAATTAAAAAATTTATCAGAAATACATTAACAAAAGACCAGGCAAACGTCCGGTAAGGTGTATTGACACAATACGGCGATTTAACAGGCCACCGGTTCTCTCGATATGAAAAATATCTCACATTACACAAGATCTAGAAAAATAAGAACTATTGGGTGAGATGCCGGCGCACAACTATTTCCGTATCCGGCGTTACCGGCTGTAGCTCGATACGATAATCGTTTAATCGTGGGGGCGCCCTCTAGTAAATTATAATTTAACTTGCAGCGGCAAACAGAAATATAGAAACCGCTGCCCGTCATAATTTGTGGCGATCGTTTGTTTACGAAATATCGTCGGACCCGTCTCCGCCCCCTCACCATCCCAAACCGTTTTTGTATTTTCCGATTTTTCCCTATACCCGAAAGCGAGTATCTACATTTCCGCTTCGCTTGGTCTTAGGTATTCGGGGAAGGGGATTGGAATCGTTTCTATCTCCTACCGAAAAAGATCCTTACAAGGGAGTGGCTCAAGTTTCGGTATCACATTTCTTCGTTTTTTACAAGAGTTTTTCATATCAGTTCTCGTCAATTTTAGTTATTTCGTATTTTATTTTCAAAATGTTGAAGATGCCTGTCATTTTTTCCGTCCTTTTTATTATTTTCCATGACACAAAAAAGACGAAGGCATACAGGGATTTTCAGAACACAAAATTCGACAGCATAGTAATCGTCGAAGTTCGAGCTGGTTCAAGATACTCTCGGGTTGCGCTCGCGATCCGAACAGACGCTCAATTCCTTCGCAAAACAATTCGTATATCTAATTAGTCGACGTTAGACCTCGAAAATCTTGTTTACGGATAAGCCGCAATTTCCTTTATTCCCGGCATAACCCGAAACTTATTTATGGCGTATGGAATTTGCGGCCTCTTTCATGCAAATACTCCCCGGAATTGTGTATTCGCTACGGTTCCGTATCTACAGGGTCATCCGTAACAATAAAGAGAGTGGATATCATTCAATTTTTATTCTTCGTTTAAATAGTTTGAAATTTGAAATTCCAAATTCTTAAAAAGCGTCAAAAAACACAACCTAATTTCATTTAATGCTGCATCTCTCGTTTGGTATCGGAGTATCGTAAAAACGTAACCACCCAGTTCATGAACCTATATATACTTATACGAAAGAGCCTGGAGGTAATAATTACGACTGACGAGGGAAATGCAAAACAGGAAATTAAACGTCAAATTTGACGCAGTTTCAGAATCAACCGCATAGAGTCACCGATCCAGCCTATAGACGGCGATTGCGGAGAGTCCCTCACCCTATACGACGCCTCTTGGCCCGACGACTCCAAAATAATCAAAACGTTTTGCGACACCTTCTCCAAGGCGATGGAAAAATACGATTTTGTTTCTACTGGCAGTTCGCTGTTCGTGAGATTCGAGAGCAAAACCGGGAGTTATAGCGGGTGAGTATAATTGACCCAAAAATGCATTAAAAGTATTTTCGCTGGGTAAAACACTGGAAAGCAATTTCCGTTTTCCTTTCCAGCTCGTCGCTGTACTATTGGGCGCATTACGACTTCTTCAACAACACGAAACTGGGCGAACCGGTGCCGGGAAAACAATGCGACGAAGTGTTCGCCTCGTGGCGACAAACAAAGGGTTGGCTGAGGTCGCCCCTAAACACCCTGGTTTATAAGCAAACTCAACCGAGCGAAGATGTGACTTGCCTCTATAGATTCGTCACGGATAAAAGGCTGTTCGCCAGAGTGATCCTGACGATAACGTGTGTTAATTTTAAGGTAAAGGCTTAACTAGGGGCGGCGATCCTTAATCTCGGTGCGGTGGGCGACTTTGGATATTTAATAAAGGGATTAAGTTGGAAAATTTAATATTCGCGCGTTTCCAAATTAAACCGGGGGTAAATCGGCGATTAGGATATCCCGAGACATTCTCCACGGCGTTTAACGCAAACATAATAAAAAAAAAATCACCAGGACCACCCCTACAACTCGGGACCGTGCACCAACTGCCTCGAAGACCGCGTTGACAAGTTGGTGATTTGGGAACCTCTGGCGCCCGGTACCAACTCGTCCCATCCCCCGGTGTCGCTGAACAAAGCGGCCCAGAGCGGCGACGTCACCTGTATATGTCACCGGCAGTCGTTCTCGACGCAGGTGATCTCTCGCGGCGAACAACTGAATCTGCAACTGATCGTAGACAGCGCTCACAGCGCCCTCAGTTACTTCAAGTACTCGAACCCGTTGTTCGAGGCCACGTACGAGTTTGTTCACGGGCCGTTGTGCGGTCCGCCCCTAATATATCCAACCACCGACGGCGAAATACATTATCCCTACTACGAAGCCATAGGATACGTTGAACCGCCGAAGTCGATCAGGTGAGCGATATGGAAGAATCGAGTGTATCCGTTATCAGCGAACGTTTCAGGTGTATTTGGGAGATCAAAGTGACCCGCGAACGCGACCTTTGGCTGCACTTTGACCGCATCAAGTTTAGTTCGAATTCTTGCGACGACGGTATCGTCGACATCTTCCTCAAGGGTAGACTAGATCCGTACCTGTCGCTTTGCGGTGAAAACGTATCTCTAGCGAAGGAATTGCCGATATTGTCGTCCGCTGAGCTCAGCCCGGACGGCACCGACCCTTCCATTACCATTCAATTCATTGGTAAGTGTTGTAGTTCTAGCTTGCGGATTTGTCGTTCGTCAATAATCACGATCATTGTTTTCTTGTTTCCGTGTATAGCAATCGCCAAAGAAGGAACAAATTCGAACAACGCAACGTCCAATGATTCTTTATCGGGTATAAATTTGTTTTTTCGAGAAATTTTCGTCGACCCATGCTTGTCAAGAGCGCACGCGCATGCTATGTTTATTAACAGTTCAACCAGTGCAATTCACCTACTACTACTCCAAGAGCATCATCAATGTTCGTCAATTATTTAGTGGTTCACGACAGAAATGAAATGATTTGTTTGTAGAAAAGATACCGTAAAAGAGTTTAGATTAGCCGTGATGTGCGCCCTAACACAAACCTCCGCACTCTTTCCGTTAACCATACCCAATTTAGATTTCTAAACCCACCACCAGCAGCACCGACGACGACTTGTAACTTCACTTTTTCATCACCAGGGCGCTCGTCGCCGACGCGTGCTGCTTTTAAGATCGCGTGGACCGAACTGTTCCACTTACCTCGCAACGTAGACGGCACCCTCATGTCTTCGAGACTAACGGAAGGCGGTAATCCAGACGAACCAGTCGAAGGGTGCGAGTTCACCTGCCCGGGAGAGCAGGGACTGTGCATACCAGGTCGTCTGGTATGCAACGGGATCGTTAACTGCCCAAACGTGACGGAATCCAAAGGTAAAACTTCTTTGAAGGTTCGTGGGTCGTTTCAAAGACCGTTCGCATTTTAGGGACAGCCCCCAACGACGAGTCGCCTGACCTATGCGCGCAAGACACGGGTCCAGAGATAAATTGGTTCTACGTGGGCGCCGCTATCGTGTCACTTCTCGTCTTTCTGTGTTGTTGTTGCGTGTGGATGTGCCGCAGGTGTTGCAGGTACTGCTGCAGGGCGGACTAGAAATTCTCTCTACCCCGGAAGCCTTAATCACGATTAATGAGGGATGGGTAAAAAGGAGGAATCCCGACCCCCAAGCGCCCTTTCGCTGACATTAGCGTAGGTTTAGTTTTCGCAACGGCAAACGGCATCGACCCCGCACGAGTACCGACCCTACCCATTTCTTATAGTTATCGGAGCCTTAAATTAATTACGAACTCGCCATGCATAGTGTTGTGGGGTTGTTTTGGAGACGTCACGTGCAAATTGTTAACGTGTTCATATTGCGAAAGTGTACGGGATGCGTTTAGGAATACCCAATGTCAGACTCCACCCCTGTGACGTTTAATGTCTAGAAGAAATTGAAATTGGGCATTATTTTGTTTATATTGGATTAGTCGAACGTGATTACAATTCATAACTTAAAGCCTATGATAAACACTTTTTTATATAATTTCATATATTCGCCTACCATCCATAACTCTTAATAGTAATTTTCTTAAGACGTTGTTCAATAATGTTCTTCAAGCGTCAAGTCCCTACTGAACTTTGGCGACTACCATGTTCACGATGATTATACATCTTTCTAACTCATCTGTTTCAAGTCGCTTAGCCATGAAAGGCTCTTACGCCCAATCTACTGGTTTTCTTCTATTTTTCCGTTAAGGATAAGTCGAAGAAAGCCATGTCGATGTCCTCTAATTTTATGGCGTAGGTGTTTAAGTTTTGGTCCCTTGATAATATTCACAAGTAGTCTGTCGTGTCCTATTCTTCAAAGAACTTCTTCATTTCTGGTTCTAGAGGTCCAAGAGATTTTAGGCATTCTCCTGCATGTCCACATTTCAAATGCTTTGATCTTATTGAGCATTTCTTCTTCTTCTATACATAAGAATCGACCATTGATGTTTAGTGTATTGTTTGAAAGCAACGAGCTAAACTTCTCCTTATTGCATATGAAGGATTTATATCTTAATCAATCCAGCTGCCGAGATACTTTGGCACTCTCTCCAACGGTTCTTTGTTTAAAGGTAATAGGGTCTTTTTTTCTCTACTTTACTCACAATCATATACTTAGTTTTATTTATGTGAATAGATAACCCTACGTCCTTACAAATTTCATTGACTCTCTTACTAAGTTTGCAGGTCTACTAGATTTTCTGCTGCAATTGTGGCATCGTATTACTAACTATTTCAACTCCAATTCCTTTTAGGAATTCTCGCTCAATAGCAACTGGCTTCGATTCACTGCCGTTCACGGCAATGGTTCCAGTACGGATACGAAATCAGTCTAATGTCTTTATCACCTAGTTGGATGTTCTGTAGGGTTGATATCATTTTATATATCAGATAATATCGTTTTTATAGAAAAATCGGAATTATGTCGTTCACGATGTTATATGCTTCTATGCATACTTCATTTCGAAATTACAATATTTGCATAGTTTCGAAAATTACGAGAGATATCCGTAATACGTCTTAACGCCGCGATTTTTGTAGAAACGTTTTTTGAAAATTGTCATTGTTTACGCAAATTCATAATTTTCGGAGTGACGCCTGGCATCTTGGGACCATCCTATACGATTTCACGTTCGATAATAATTCCGCGAGTCTCTGGTTATGGTTGTGGCGGGCCATACGAAAAAATACTAAACCAATCGTCAATTTCGGTACAGTTGTGATACATTACATTCGTATATTTATCGATTTGTGCGGGAAAACTCCCTTTTCAATTTCTGTTGGTGCGCCCTCTACATGCAACGTACAAGATAAAGGTTCTGCAAAATGGCCCCAGTTTGCAAAAAAAAAAACCGAAACCCAAGCGAAGGTACAATTAGTGACGCACAACACAGACATACACACACAAAATGTATAAAAAAAACAACATAAAAATTATAGATTATAGGGACGTCTACGTTGACATTTTTCGATATCCGTTTCGGGCGAGCACGCGAGTTTTTTCGTCTGCGGAAAAGCGAAATGTTCTAAAAACTAATTGTAAAATAATCGCATAAAAATTGTCGGCGGTATAACCCGCTCCGACTGTAAATTTGGAGTTTTAACGACCCTAAACCACTTCCTCCCCCATGTAAATATTGTGTAATTTTCACATGGTCGTGTGATATAATAAATAAAATTGTATTGTTTTATTTATTACCCGTTGTTTTTATTTTGGTCTTATCTGGAAAGAAGGTCCTAAAGACAAATTGAAATTCAGGTCCAGACAAATAAACTAAAAAAATATAAAAAAATCCAAAACAAGTTCGAATTTATTTTCGATGAAAAAAATCAAAGAACATACAAAAGTCATATTCGAATCTAATCCAGTTTACGTTTTCATTAAAATAAAGATTTTTAAGTCAAATCCATATTTTTTTAAATACAGGCATGACAAAAGAAAATCCTACGGACTAAACAAATACAAATATGCACAAATCAACCAAAGTTAAATTCAAGTCAAATCCATTTTGGCGTACTTTGTACTTTCATTTATTTCATCACGATGCGTTTAAACCCTAACCTCAGGTCACCCTTGACGGTGTTACCCAACGAGTTGGAGTCGAATTGCAGAGGAATCTGGGTCTCCCGGAGAGGTACGAGCTCGAACTCGGACAGGAGGTGATACAGGACAATCTTTATCTCCAGCAGGGCGAACCTAGAAGCCACGCACCCTCTCGGTCCTATACCGAAAGGCATATAGGTGTACGGTGAGATGTTGACTTTGTTTTCATCAGAAAACCTTTCAGGATCGAACTTGTCTGGCTCCGGGTAATATCTGGGATCCATATGAAGTCCGTAGGTGGGTAAAAGCACCAGGTCGCCCTTGTTCAATTTGACGGCCACTTCGTCCGGGGAAAGGGGTTCTATGGTGTAAGGTTTGGTGCAGACTCGGTCCGTTGCTGGTCCAGGGGGCCATTTTCGTAGAATCTCTGACACCACCATGTCTAGATATTTCATTCCCAGTAAAGTATCGTAGGTGATCTTAGCGTCGTAGCGATCTTTGACCTCGACGATTTCGTTACGAAGCTTTTGCTGGATGTCGAGGTTGAGAGCCAACTCGTAGGCACCGAACGACAACGCCGTCGAGACTGTCTCGAAACCGGCGAGGAAAAATAACAACGCTTGGGAGATTATGTCGGCGTCAGTGATGGTGGGGAGGGACTTTGTCTTCTCAGTTACTAAGTAGAAAAGGTTGATATTTAGTATAAGATTTATAGCATAGCGTAAGTATTATTGTGGTCTAGACATAATTGTGAAACGGACTTTACTAACCGAAGTCTGTTTCACGAGCCGTAGCGAATCCGGTGTCGACGGGAGCTTCATCATCAGACTTGGCATCCAACAAGATGTTGATGACGTCAGGTCGTTCTATCCCTAGTTGTCTTCTACCTCTAGCGACCGAAATCGCCTCCGAAATGACCCTTTTGAAGTATTCACTCGATTCTCCGTCGAATACGCTCGCTTGAAAAAACTGCGCAGCATGGAAAAAAATATTTTCATTTATCGCCAATAATTTACCCACAAAAACGGAAATTTTAAGGATATTTTAGATTTTTTGCCCACAAACGACACACCCTGTATATGATAAAATCATTGTTCGAAGTAGAGGTTACAGCCCTGGATTTTCGCCAATACCTGGTTCGAGAATTTTTTGAAAATAGTAAATGGTTTTCGAGAAAATAAGTTTTTTCTGAAACCATGCAGTGCGCCGTAGTAATCAATGACGTCATCGCGTCTTGACAGCCCCCGAAATAACGATTTCAATATGGATTTTTTCGAATATCCGGAGCAACGTATGTTACGAAAACCGTAAATACAAAAATTGTAGCTCTTGATGCGGCCTATGGCACCGTTTGAACCAATTAGCCATATTTTTTACAATTTTTGATTTGCGGCTAATAATTTACTCTGTAAAATTTTATAGGTCTTTTAGATTTTTGCCTATAATTTGAAAACCCTATATATAATCGAAAAAATGCCCGAAATAAATGTTATTGTACTGGATCTTCTGCGGAGGAAAACATATTTTTTTGGAAGCTAAAATTAAGAAATAATTTTTTTTTAAATGCTTGATAAAATTTAATTTTAAATTAAAAATTAAAAAAAAAAATAAATTTAAATGTGGACACGGACTTTTACTTCTCTGCTAAATTTGAAGTTGATATCTGCAAATTTAGGACACTTAACATATCTCTGATTTAGCACGGAATATCGGGAACACCCTGTGCAATAGGTGAAAACCTTAAGTACAATAGTTTTTGCTGTCTATGCGGGCTATATCGCAATATAAAAGAAAGTGAAATCTGAATCATAGTCTTTCAGTTATAACCAATTTTCAATAATAGGGGGACCCATTTTTCAGTTTTTTTTATTTGCGGCGCACCCTGTACATTTTTGAAAAATTGTCAACAATGAAAGTTTACAGAGCCGTATCTTGTGCATATTCTGGTTCAAGAATTTTTTTGGTCTCGTAAACAGTTTTTGAAAAATGATGCTTTTTAATTTTTTTTTAATTTTTTAGAATACTTAGGAGCTAACTAAAGAGCATAACGCCCCCTCAAACAATATATAAGCAGGTACAGAGTAAAATGCAAGCCGGTTTCAGTCAAGCTCTGAAGAAGCCCACAGGATGATTGGCGAAACGCTAGCAAGTTCGACTCAACAACAACCACCGCAGGAGGAATCCAGAAGTTTTGTAAATAGCATAACAGTTTACTTTATTTATTTGATCTTTGAATTCTTTCACACATGTTGACGTCTGCAGATCACCTGCGCAACTTTGGTTAGGAATCTATAATTTTACTTGTTTAGTTAAGAATCTGTTTTTTTTTTCATTCTTCGTATTTTTTAATTTTGAAGACAAATCTTGGATAGTTTCGGTTAGTACAATAAAATTTTGATATGTCATGGTACTTGCCTTCATTAATTTAGGACACACTATGTACCCGAAAAATTTTAGCATGGTGGAAGGACCTGATAGACTTGTCAACTGTTTGCCCATGAGGTAAAATTCATTATTCGGCTCGGCCAGAGAATTCACTTCTACCCCAAAAGCCATGCTCGCTATAACATCGTTGGAAAATCTAAACAAAGCCGCGTTAAAACCCAGTCAATTGTCAAAGTCTTGAGCCATAAACCCAATAATCCACTCATAAATGCGCTCGAATCAATCATAAATTCCTAGGATAAGTTAAGTTAGAAACGTCTCATTGCGCCAAAACTGTACCCTCGCATAGTTTTTATTATTAACTAACTATTACTATAACTTAGTAACTAAGAAAGGAAATATGATTGTAACTAAACAAAATAACAATGCACGTGATTACCTCGAAAAGGCGTCCTTAACTTCGACGTCGATCAGATCTTTGCTTAGTGTCGAATAGTGTCTGACGAAGTTTTCGGCCCCTTGCGATATCAGTTGGAACATGGACTTGATTTTGCTACTGGTAAACGCGCAGGACAAACAACTTCTCATTCGTTTCCACTCCTGTCCTGGAATTTTTTTTAATGATATATAACTTTAGTCAGGGGCGGCTGGTGTATATGCGCTGCAGTACTGCAGCGCTCCCAAAAAACTAAGAAGAAGAAAAAGAAGAAAAGATAAAAAAAACTGCAATGGAAATGCCGCCGGACCCGTACATAAAGTCGACCAGTGAAATAACCAACCATAATCGTACTGTCGATGTCGCTGAATTGTTCGAACGTGCCCTCAGCGCTCTTTGGAATACCCGCGCAGCACACCTCGATGGTCTGACCAAAGCCGTGGTTTAAATAGCATTTAGCCCAGTGCAATTTCGAAGAGGGTTAATAGCATCAAATTTTCACGAGGTGTTGTGATTTACTGATTCACAGCGCAGCGCGTTGAACGTAATGTTTAGTTTGATTAATGTAAAGAGATTTTTGATATATTCATACCAAGAAAAGTTATAATTAAAAGCAAAAGTTATACAAGGAAATTTAGTAAAGACGTCTACTCAAAAAATAAATGTATATGTGGATGTAACAAAAAACTGTTCTATATTGTTTTTCGGTGCCGATAAAGCTTGGGTAGGGATCACCGACCTAGAGAATTTAAGTTTGAAAATAAAGATATGAAAATGCCTAAAAGTCATAATTGTAAAGAATTTGCGTTATTACGGGCAACCAATATTAGGGTTCGATTAGATTTTGCTTATGGGCTAAATATACAGAAACATGATGAAAAATAGCTATATTTTATCAAAAGTTATTATTTGTCTTTACTTTTGGGGAGCTTTTGAATTCTTTCCTGCAACATGCGGAGAGCGAAACTTCCGAGAGTCCCGGGATATTTTGTGGTCTTATTAATTTTTCAGCTGAATTAGATACAACTCTAAGTGAGCACCTAAAAAGGTCTTTGATATTTAAACGCACTTCCAAAGAAATTCAGAATGATCTGTTACAGTGCATGCTTGAAGTTTGTCATGAACAAATAATTAAGGTTTTTGGTTATGGTAATTTTTTTCCAAGAATTACAGACCACCTTAAAATTTTTCACACGAGTTTCCCTGGCGTCTGTCAATGATAAAAGTAAATTAATTTCTGAAAATGTTTCTCACAAAAATAATTGAAAAAACATAAAAATTGAGGCACAAACTGGGAGCTCACCCCTCAACTGAAACAGTAGCTTGCCCCAGTTAGGATCAGCGTCGGAATCCAAAAATCCCCTGTGGTCCGTAAAGTGATCAAACCTCTTCACCGTGATTTCTTTGATGAGGTCTGGGTCTTTGATAGCCAACGCCGGCATATAAAACTGGTACATCCCGAAATATCTTGAAGATAGAGCGGGGATGACACAAATTACGAGATAAGTCACCCAGAGCTTTACCTGACATCGTTAACCATATTGTATATTTCTCTTGAGGCCGGTGCTATGCCCATGCGCTTGATTATAGTGACCCAGGTGTCGCCAAGGATGGGCCATGGTTTAGTTTGCTTCACGCCAATGCGGGTCCAGTAATGATGCGGTCTTACCAAAAAGTACCAGATGAGGATGGCGAAGAGAGCCAGCAACAGCAACATTTCAGTGCAATTTTTAATGCGGATTAATAAACAATGGTTCAGGATTAGATCATTCGCTCGAACACACCGCAAGTAAATGAAACGACCTTGAGAGTTGATATTTTTAGCCCTGGAATTTATCGGAATGCAGCAGCGCGGCCGAATCGGACCTGGAAATACTCGGCGTTGTAGTTTTTTAAATCGTATCCTACTTAGATTCCCGACACTATTTTTGGAAATTTAAAATTTACAGTTTAACATTTTTCAAGAGAAAAAATTCTGAATGGGAAATAATTTTGACGTTTTGAATGTGTCCTCCCGTCGAGACGCTGATGATCGCCCTCCACATTAGGTCGCTGCATTAATCGCTCCGATGACAACATAATATATGAACATTTCTTTGCATGAATGTCACGTTTATCATATGTGCGCTTCATAACCTAATTTTTTAGAAAATTTTCGTTCTTTTTTAAAAACGTTTACTTCTTTCATCGATCATATTTTACCTCTTACTGTGGTGTTTTAAAACGAAACTATTTTGGAAACAGTAATACCAAATTGGACGTTCCGCCCAAAAAAAGAAACTGCAAGGTTGCACATATCCATCGGGATCCAAAAGTAAATTGCAAACAGTTCTCGATTGACCGTCCGGTAACGCTGGTAAAGTTCATTGTGATTTGTAATGACGTATTTTTTACATAAAAATAAATGTAATTTCCTTCTTAACATTCATTCGGTGGTTTTGTTTTTAATAAAAAAACATATTTTCTAACTAAAATTTTGTGGCGCCTTTGATTTTAGAATTAGATAATTAAAATACATTTTTTTATTATTCTTTTTAGGATAATAATAATAACAAATTGTTTATTGCCCAAAAGATACAAGTTTTTACCCCAGCCATAACGCTTTAGTTTATTTAATTATAAAATTCGAGTTTGTATTTGGGATAAACAAGAAAATAACACATCATAATAACAGTTAATTAAACTTAAAACAAGGGAAGATGAACCAAAATAATGGATTGCGTTAATTGAAGTTGCTTTTAGCCATAGCTTTAAACTTAGTCAATGTCTGTGTGACAATTTTATAGTATAGTTCAAAATAAATAAGAAGTAAAAGTTCAGATTTTCACTAATTTAAATATTTTTACATTACTAGTGTTTCGACAACACCGTGTCTTTATCAAATCAACATTTGATTTTTTTTTTGAAACAATAGTCATGTAAAAATATTTAAATTCGTGAAAATCTGCACTTTTAGTTCTTATTTATTTTGATAAATGGATTTTCATCAAGTAAAAGCCACATCAGTTCGATTATAGTGTGGTTGCCGAATAGTTCATAGAAGATAATAGTTAATAGAAAATAATGAGATATTTTTTATTATCATTTATATGATAAGCTTTAAAAAATAATATCAGCGCATTTTTTCACTTTATAAAAAATGTATTCGTTAAATGGTCGAAAAAAAGAAATTACAAAAAAATTAAATTAATATTCCGAGAGATGAAAGCTTGTTGATACCAATGAAGCAACCCGTGTTTACGACGATAAAATAAAGACCCTCCCCAAATGCCACATTCTGTATTTCTAATTGTACAAAGCAAAAACGTAATATTTTATTGCTTAGTTCGCTCCAAACGTTTTAACCCGAACCACAGTCCATCTTCGACGACGATATTCAGTGACCTCTTCGCCAATCTCAACGGTATCACGCTCCTCGCCGTTGGTACCACCTCAAACGCCGCCAACAAGTTGAACAGCAACATTTTCACCTCCAATAGCGCGAACCTGGACCCTATACAATTCCTCGGCCCCACCCCAAAGGGTAAATACGTATAAGGCCGGATTTTACCCTTATTTTCGTCGGAAAAACGCTCCGGATCGAATTTATCCGGGTCCGGGAAATTTACCGGATCCCTGTGGATCGCCTGGAACGGCAGGATGACCACGTCACCCACCCGGAGTCGTACAGATTCCTCACCAGGTTTCACAGCTTCAATGACGTACGGTTTCGTACACACCCTGTCCATCCCAATGATAGGCGGCCATTTTCTCAACACCTCCGACACTACCATGTCGAGGTACTTCATTCCCAGTAAGGCCTCGTAGGTAATTTTACCCTCGCAACGTCTCTGGACTTCGAGGATTTCGTCCCTCAACTTGCCTTGGACCTCGGGATGGCAGGCGAGCTCGTACCCCGCGAAAGACATCGCCGTAGAGGTGCTATCGAAGCCAGCGAAGAAGAATATCAACGCCTGTGAGGTTATGTCGTCGTTGGTGATCGCCGGTTGAGGCTTGGATCGACCTGAAAGCGTCTCCGATGCGTCACGTGTGAAATGACAGGCGGATGAAAAAGGAAGGAAAAAAAGTTTCTAAAACTCTTTGCAGCGGAAAACCGCGTACCAAGCCCTCAAAAAATAAGATAACGTCGATAATTACTGTGATGTTTATAGGAGCAGTGAAGTTAACCTATTCAGAAAAAGACGAAGTTGATTCACCTAGAGAAGATTCTTCAACGGTGGCGAACCCTGTGTCTACCAGGACGGGTTCTTCGTCCTTGGCTCCTTTCTTCGCTTCCAAGAGAATGTTGATCATGTCAGGACGCACGATGCCCTCTTCTTCGCGCACTCTCATAGTTTCCGTCAGCACCTTTTGGAAAAAACGGGTCGCCCCGCTGTCTATGAGACCGATCTTCAGCGTCTAGAATTTTGAGTTCGTTAATTTGAACTGCCAAGTTATTAAAAACGCCAAGACGTGACAAAACAGCAAACTGTACAAGTGGCATGTCCTGACTATTTTTATAGAGAAGGGACCGATCGAATTTCCGTCCATGCTTCTACAATTAACCCGCTAACCTGCATTTTGTGCCGTTTTCTTTCTAAACAGCGATATCTTCAGTATCTTTTTACCTGAAATATTTAATAGGATCTGGACATATTTTCAAAAAAATACTGCCGTAAAAATGCCGCATCCGAACTTAAGCGGTCATGTTGGTTTTTAAATGCCCCAAGATCGCTGGTTAAAAACGAGATTTTAAATCTCCCGCATGCGCATGTGGAATAGACCTTCCCATTTTTTTAAATAATTGCTTCATAAGTTCCTGTATTATCAGCATTATGTAGGGCCTCTATATCTCTAGCAGCACTGTGGGTATGTCGTATCGGCGTGCAGTAGTGATGGGTCGATCCGTCTGGACTAGGTAGAAGTGAACGAGTTCAAGGTATCTACTAGATATATAGCTGACAGTACAGAAATTCATGAACCAACTATGTAAAAATTTCTTCTTCTTCGTTTTTAACCAAAGGCCGCTCTAATGACAAATTCTGACGTAGAACCCATAAGACCTAGCAACAAACAACATGGCCGCTGACAGATCGTCGATGTTTGGATGCCGCATCCACGATTTTTACGACAGTATTTTCTCAAAATATGTCGAAATCCTATTCAATTTTCAGGCAAAAAACTGGTTAAAGCGTGGAAAATCAATGCCGAATTGCTTTTGTTCTTCAAGCCCTGTAAATAAGATGCAATTTTTACATGTATTTTTTTATGTAAGCTATTTTTTTTTTGTAAATCGGCGCAAAGCGTTAGTTTTCGTAAACTCATAGGTTTAACATCCTTTGAAATGAGATGCTAGATAACGCACATGAAACATCTATGTGAAAAAATGTTGAAGAAGCACCTCCTATAGACAGTAATTCACAGGGGTTATTTATTATGCTTGTTTTAGTAAAAATTCAACTTGTTGCTTAATTACGGCAATGTACAAATTCAATCAGCTGGAGGGTGACGCGTGCGCAAAAGAATCATACCTTCTATATGAAAAAAATCATAGCCACCTGCGACTAACTAAAATAGAAAAAACAAACGCACGAAGCGGCTCACGGTTTCGATTAACTTGATTAAGACTGGCAACACTGGTACGATTGAACGTCGGCGACGCATCGCGCGTCGGTTGCAATAAGTGCTATTTTCTCGAAGCACTTTATGACTTATTTTTTGTCTTGTTAGCTGTAGTTTAATTTCATTTTTGTTTATTTTACCACTTATTTGTCACTGACAAATACTAAAATACTCTCTAATTTCAATCGAAATGCCCAACCCTATAACAACATAATCAATCTCTATTTTGCGGTGCTATACTGGATACTAGATTAGTCCACTGGCCTCTGTCCTTTCAGTGCGCAAAAGTATCGAAAGTTTCCAGCAATATCTTGCAGAAAAGAGTCAATAAAGCCAGCGACAAAAAATGGTTGTTTATACATTTTTCTACTCAGTTTTGTAAAATACCTAATTATACACTTATCTAGCGTGCGGAAAGCGTCACTTTATCACGTGAGTTTCTTTTTCCACGGATCCGAGCCACTCCGGACACTTTCGGGATACATATAATATACTATTTATTCCTCGTGCCATTTTAAAATTTACAACTTACTCTGAAGAGTTGCGGGAACATGAGGTAGCCGAAAAATTTGACGAACACTCGCAGCGACGTGAAATCCGTGATTTTTTTTCCACTCAGATAAAATTCATTTTCCGGTTGGGAGAGCGAGTCTACCGTCAGACCAAACGCTGACGTCGCAATGACGTCGTTGGCGAACCTAAAGACGGGTGGACGGTCAGAATCAGTTTTTTTTGTACCTCACTGTTACCTTGTAAAGGTATCTTTCAGTTCTAATTCGATGACGTCATCTCTATTTTTCAAGTGCTCAACGAATCTCTGCGCGGTGTCATTCATTAACTCGAATATAAACTTCATTTTGCTACTGGTGAAGGAGCCGGACAGAGTGCCCCTCATGTCGCGCCAGCGCTGGCCTAATAATCACGAGCGGGTTCTAATTTTTGTCGGTAGAAAAACCGTAAAAAAATCTATAAATTTCATAAAAATTTACTTAATTATTATCACTATTTCAAATTTTTCCCACAATTTGCAAAAAAAAATTGCCTCAAACATGAAACAGGGAGCCAGCGAAGCAGGCGCTCACCCTTCAAAGACAAAAGATTCCTGCCCGATACAGGGTCGGCTTCGGGGTCGAGGAACGTTCTGCGGTCCGTGAAGTGATCGAAATTCTTCACGGTTATTGACTTGATCAGTTCGGGATCTTTCACCAGGACCACTGGTGTGTAAAACTGATACATTCCGGTGTACCTAAAATTTGCGGGTGTTGGAGACGCAAGTCGGTGACGTTAGAGAAAGCGTACCTCGCGTCTGGATACAAGTTGTACACTGTCTGAAGCAGATCCGAAAAATTCTTGAGACCTAAAACGGTCGACCAAGAGTCGCCCAAAACGATCCAAGGTTTGGTTTGTTTCGCGCCTAACCTCTCCCAATAATGGAGCGGTTTATCCAGTAGGAACCACAAAATAACAACGGCCAAGATGAAAACGATCAGCCAAAACATCGTCAACGGCTAGAAAAAAATAGACGAATATGCAACCATTAATACACTTTTCCGCGCCGTCACTAGGCGTCTTATTTTTTGATAATTTGGCAATAGCGTATTTATTTACATCGAAATTAGTCTCGAACAAACAGCGACAACAGGTGTAACATTTTAGTACATGCGTCACATTGCCTTTTTTAAACACTTACGGTACACAAGGTGGTCCAGGAAAAGTATTTTACACGCTGCTCTCGATAACGAACACTGCCCGAATCTAATTGCATAGATTAACACGCTAATTTGATCCTAAGTGCTTTAATCTGTAGCAGCCTGCATCATCAACAACACCCAATGGCTCCATCTTACGACGCAATCTCGAAATCAACCGTTAGAAGTTAACCTTATAGATGGCGCGCTGTATAGACAAAAACAATTTAGAAACCTCGTTCAGCGCCCATTAAAAAACCAAAGCGGTGTTTACAAATTACGAGCAAAAATGGAACGTAATCTTATTCCAGTAGATCAAAGAGAACTTGAGCGACAAAAGATTAAACTGTAACACATTTTATTAAGGCATATTTGGCCGATGTCATGACTGCCGCGAAAAATCTGGGCTAGGAAAAACTCGGAAGATGTATTTAATCGATAAAGTGATTCATATTTACGTGCATGACCTCATTCTCAAAGACCAATTTCTAAGAAGTTCGAAGTCAAACCTGTAAAAATACAATCTGACCTATAACCGAAACCATTCCGCTATTATTATGGTCCTTTTTCATTACATCATCGACCGTGAATACACGCGATGACATCATCATGTATGTCACGGACCGTCGGTCGACACACAGGGCCGTGTCGTTATCGATTTTACGTCACGAATCGCCCATGACACGGAGTATTAAAAACGAAAAATCGCGTTCAGTACGCCCCTGGCCTGAGATTAATAGCAGGTCGCTTCAACAACGCGGACCAAAAGTAGAACCTGTTTTTCTTCCAGGGAGAGTACGCGGCTGTCGTAGTAAAATCGATTCAGTCGCTTAAGCCGCCCAAAACAGATACAGTCGCGTCCTTTCTCAGTTCGTAAACAAGATGTCGGTCAGCAGATTATCTATTATTAAATTTTTAGAACTGGTAAGTGAAAATTAAGCGTATTCATAATTTATTTCCAAGAACAGGGGTTACCTAGCTTAAATTTGTAGTTACGGAATAAACTGCATCTTATATATATTATATATTTGTTGAAAACGCTAATAGCGCCTTCCGGTAGTTTATGCATCGGCGTCGGACGTGTCGAGCTTTCAAACAGGCCAATTAAGCGCGATAAATGCGTGTGTTAGGTAGCTTTTTCGAGGCGTTTGATAGTTTGTGTCTTTCTGTCGTAAACATCGCGTCTGGAGTCACGGCTATTTTTAGCAGAATAGACTCAAATTATATACGCCATCCAATTATATTTGCATTTAACTATCTAGGTTTCTTGTTTTTGTTTCGTTTAAAGCGCTAAAATATCACGCTTCCGAGTTGGGTTGGTTACGAAATTTGGGTGCCACGCAGAGATCGACGAGTGATTCATGGTTTATGCCGCAATCATCATAAAAAGATTTGTTTAAAAATTATCTTGGTGTCCTAGCGGGTCGTTTCTAAATAACAATTATTTTGAGATAATAGTTAAATATAGGTTTTATTGCAGTTTGCTTGATTGTTTTATAAATAAATGCGAGGAGAGCGATTTAATTTTAGATATGTTTAAGAAATTGTTATTTATTTTACCATTGCCAATTGATCGAAAGAGCGTGTGTTCTTTTCGTACATCGATTAAAATGTTACGCCGGCTACACACGATCCGACAGGCCTGTCAGTTCGAACTGAACAGTCCGCCTGAAGATCGGTCGCATGATGGACTTACCACCCTCCACACTTTCAGGCGAATATGAAATATCATTATCAATCATCGTCATCTGCTTAGTAGTTGCTTTGATTGGTTGAAAAAAAGGAGCGTTTTTTCTTAGTCTTAGTGGAAAATAGAATTATTTACGCCGCGATCACGCAGACGAAGAAAACTAAACTATAGACCTGCGGCAAATAAACAAAACCCGCTTGTGAAATTCACACCGTAATTATTATTACAGCTCATCGCAGTTATATGCGTCGGTTTACACTACAAAAGCCAGACCGGCGACTTGAACGTCGATATGCTTTCCGTGGTCGCTTTCGGAGGGTTCATAATCATATTGGTCGGCGGTTTCGCAGGTAGGTTGGCCGCGCACTCTATCCGGGCATGGTCAAACCGGGTGTATTTTTGATTGTCGCCGGTAGATGTCGCCGAAAGTTCAATTAAACGTCAACTTTCAGGATACCTAATGAGCACGCCGATTAACAAAAGGATCGACATTTTCTTCAGCTTGGTGGGTTGCGCGATGTTTATCGCGGCCGGCGCTCTGAATATCAAGCATTACGAAAATTATAGTCGAAGCGAGTACAGAGACTACGGCTTGTCAAAAGGATCGATGGCGGTGATAAACGGCGCTCTGTTTTTGCTGGACTCGCTATTGACGTGGCGCGGCGACTTTTAATTTTGATTAAACGTTTTCTGTAAACTTATTATCGCGGCTTATACAATTCCGCCATATTAAGAAAGAAAAATACAATTGGTCCAATTGGATTTTATATTTTGCATTGGATGTCGAATAAGAAGCAATCTTGTTACATCCGTTGGATATTCGGCATTCGTATTTTTTTTTCAACGAGCTGACTAGCTTTAATTGTATCTCTTCGTTGTTTTTATATGAATATATAATTAGATATAAGACAAACGCACATTTCTCCGCGACTTTTACAGACATTCCTGTCGAAGATGCTATAACGTGTACCTCTAAACTATGCCTTAACGCAGATGGTCGTATTTTTTTAAACGTTCTAACAATCTATTTTGTTATTAGAGTCGTATTCCATTTTGTAATCCAAATTTTTACTATGTCGAAATGTGCGCATTTTTATGTGGTTGTATTTTTGTACTAATTGAAATTTTAGTGTGTAGTTGTAGTATAAGCACGTAACGTTAAAATGTTGCTTTAGACGTAATAAAAATTTACTCCAGATTCAGGGTTTGTTAGTTTTATTTTACCCGCTCGTTAAAATTATTTAGGTCGCATTATATTATACTAATAAAATCGGAAATGTGACTTAAATAACAGTCGATCTTGAGATACGACGAGATACAGAACGAAATGGAAATAAGCAAGCTGTCGATCGTCAAATTTTTCGAAATGGTAATTGCCATTATTATCTCTATTAATATGAATCTTGACCGAGCAATTGCAGGCGCTGTCGGCCATTTGCATAGGATTTCACTACAGAAGCAGGACCAATGATTTCGACTGCGACACAGTATCTGCAGTGGCATTCGGAGGCTTCATAATCATCTCTTCTGGTAGTTTCATAGGTATGTGAATTAAGTGAAAGTTGAATTGTAACATAAATAACAACTGAAGTAAGATAACTATGTCCCGATATTGTTACTTGTTAAAATACAAATGTGCCAGTTTTACGGCACAATTAACTAAAAATAGCTATTTTTTGACATGTGCCCCCACTGAGCGCGATACAAAAATATACCGCTCGGGTACGACAAAAGTAAGTAGAGTAAAAGAAGGTAACCGCAACTGCACTTTTCAGTTTTTATTTCTAACATAAATAGAAGTGACACAATTGGGAAAAATATCATCAGAGGTAGCTATTTATATTAAAAACCGATTTTGCTCAACGAAGACCTGACTCCTTGAAATTGGTCCAGGAACTTGCATTACATGGTACCATCAGGCGCTGCCAATGACGTCACTCGAATCGCGGTTTTTGCATTATGATAATTTACCCGTGACGATTATGCAATAACGTCCAATGAGTTTCACTTACCAAATATAGAAAGTTCCTTATCTATTCATTATACATATGAAGACCAGGGTTTGTTAGTTATAGCGCTTTTTAGGGCTTCTCATGAACGCCCCCATCAACCGAAAGGTCGACACATTCTACAGCCTGGTGGGGTGCGCTGTTTTCGTCGCTGCGGGATCGTTAAACATCGATTTTTTTGAACACTTCACCCGGTCGGAATGGAAACATTACGGAATAGCAAAAGGCATACTGGCTATCGTTAATGGAGCAGTTTTCGTGCTGGATTCAGTCCTTACGTGGAGAGAAGGCGTTTAAAGGTAACTGAATGAAACGACGTACAATTTTATTTTTAATTTACAATTATATTTTCTACAAAATTATGTTCCCTAGTTTGTACTCTTAATATGTTATTCAAAGTAGGGCTAGAAAAATATATCACAAATTGCAAAAAAAAGCAAGAGCGCGTTTTTATAGCGGTATTCGTTTGTGACCCCTAACCCTGCAGCCGAGGTCGCGTTGCGTCTCGCAGTCCGCCTTAATTTGCGCCAGGCGCCGTTTTATTGGTAATACTAGGGTCCCGAGTAGCTCGTCTATCGTGTGCGGATAAAAGACCATCTCCAAGTTGCTTTTCAGATAATTCTCGAGGCCGCACACCTCCCCGAGCAACCTGAAACGCGTCGAATGCCGTAAAAACAGAACCTAACGTAAAAATCACATACTCTGATATGGCCGGCAAAATCGCGTCGATCTGCATGGGATTCGTGTAATTATTTGCGATCTGCCATTGGTTCAGCCACGTGGACAATCTGAAAAGGGTTAAGCATTTTTTTAGCAAAAGGGAAAATTAAAACATTGCGGAATAGATTACAGGTTATCTGTGGTCTGTCCAATAGGTGGATAACATTCACAGCTGGCAACCATAGTGTAGACAATGTTTTGGAAAATGTTGCGGTGCTTAATTTCGGGAACTTTAAATGTATTTTACGAAAAATAGTTTTATGTTATGTCAGTTTTCGAGAACGTGTACCAGAAATTGAAAGTGTTTTCGTAGGGAGGAATTATCGTCTGCGAAGAAGAAAAGTATCGTAAATGATGAGCTTTTAGTCACACATTGTTTCTATCGTGTTTCTTAATTTGCAATTGGGCTAATGTATGTTTGCGGAATTAATGTTGAAATGAATCTTTCGACTTACTGGTCGCTTTCGACGATGTTTTTGTACCGACCTCGCACGCTGATTAACTTCTCAAATCCGACATATATCTGCCAGCCGGGGAAAGAAAATTGGGGCAACGGCGTCGCCGGCGACCTGACGGAATCCGGATCGATGACGTCGCCCCCCAAAACTGTAATGACGCAGTCGTTGGTCTCCTGGGAATACCCGCCGGACAGCCAAGTTTTCATGCAGAGACATAAGGACGGTACAGAACATGGCAATAGCTCACACAAGGTCGCGTAATGGTCGAACCTGATAAATGGTGATTACACCAAACGCTAAATTATAATTTGATTCCATATATCGCTCACTGGGGGCAATAATGGCACATCTACAAAATAGTAGTTCGGAAAAAATCAGTGATTTAAGAAAATAAAAACTGAAATATTGATCTCATATCAACTGTCCTACCTCTTACAAAATTTGTATTATTCTCAAAAATTATTTTAGAGATTCTTTTTTAAATGTTTTTAAATTTAGTGCTGTTATTGATTTTTTTAAACACATCAATTTCACAAATAAAGTGCAATATTTTGATAAAAAAACAATCTTAATAAAACAGTAGATCAAAATTTTAATATCATTTTATTATAAAAATAAATATAAAAATATAATATGGCAGGTTGATTTGCTAGATAGGTAGATAGTATTAAGTTAAAAAAACAAACTGGAAATTAATAAAACACTAAAAAACACAATACAATAACTAGAAAAAACATCTAAAAGCTATAAGTAAAAAACAACCAACCTATAGTTTTTGGTAAAGAGAATTATCGTGGCACGTAAACAAAAGCTAAACCATTCTAATGTAAAAGCAAAAACCAACTGGACTGGTTTTTGGAAAATAAACCAAAATTACTATTTCCAAAGCACATTTCAGGCTATTATAAAAGTGACTCTGATATTTTTTAATAGCATTCCTTTTTAACAAATTTATTAAGTCACTAAAATTTTTGCGGTTTTGCGTAAAAAATAGTGGAGCTAACTCTCTCTAGCGGAACTGAAGTAAGATAACTATGTCCCGGTATTGTTACTTGTTAAAATACAAATGTGCCAGTTTTATGGCACAATTAACTAAAAATAGCTATTTTTTGACATGTGCCATTATTGCACCCATTGAGCGAGATACAAAAATATACCGCTCGGGTACGACAAAAGAAAGTGGAGTAAAAGAAGGTATACCACAACTGCACTTTTCAGTTTTTATTTCTTCATTCTTCATTTCTAATTTCAGTGTAATATTTTCTATTTTAAAATTATAATCTCTCCATTTGTTCTTATTTTCATTAAAAACATAGCACATTTTGGCGTCTGTCTTTTCGGTTGGAACAGATATAGCAACAATTAAGAAAAGAATCGCTGATTTTACTGCATCTCACTTATGTTAGAAGAAATAGTGAGCGTTTTCAAAAAATAGCGACACTTACTGGCTTTTGTTAATTTAAAATTTTCACGTCTAGTCTAAGTTTCACACTTTCATTCGACAAATGGTGGAAGTGGAGTTATTTCTTGGTAAAAATTATGGTTATTTTAAAGTTGTTTTGTTGTAAGAAGTTTTTTTTATTTACATCATATACTTTTTTAATTTAAGTAGATTTTTTTTCATTTTATTTATAATTACTCTCCCTCTCCTAATCTAAATTGTCTTCTTATATTGGTTATTGCTATTAATGGTGTTATTATATTTTTTAATCTGATTTACCTGGACCAGCCAGTGAATGCCATCCCACGGAAACTAACGACCTTGCCCGCGTGCATGCTGAGCTCCCTTAACCACGCCAATTGATTACCCACGTGGTATTTTGTCGCGGGCACAACCTGGCAGCTACTCGTGGCGCCCTTGAACGCGCTTGCACCCCAAACCTTCGCGAAAACGTTGCTGTACTTCTCCCATAGGGCTGCGCCCAGCTGGAACGTTTCAGGCGAGTTATAGTGCCACACCATTGGCTCAACCAGGTTGCCTACATAGTAGTCTGAAAATTTATTTATTTTAAATAATTCGGGAAGAGCTGAAATTTCAATTTGGCAAGTCCACCACCAATGGGGCTCATTGATTTGAAATTGAGTTAATTAGTTGACACCTTGGAGGACGTTTACGTCGATGTTCCTTAGCATGTCGTCCCAGATGATTATTTTCAGGTTGGGGTAGTTGTCTTTGATATACTGCGCCACTTCGACGATGTGGTCTAGGTATAAACCGGCCTTGCCATATTTGTGTGAGTGGACTCGTTTGACGCAAGAAGGACAAAGGCCCATGTGCCACACCTTCAATGAAATACCACACCAGTTTTTTTTTTAACGAAACCGAAACGACAACCTCGTCGCAGCCTATATGGAAGTATTGTATGCCTGGATGGAACGCGACCATCTGTTTAATAAGGCTCCTGATCAGGGGCATCGTCTCGCCGTTGCTCGGGCACATCGAGCTCGGGTAATCGTCAACTTCCCTCAATGCGCGCCATTGTTCGTGTTTCAGCACAAATTCCATGTGCCCGAATGTTTGCACCAGTGGTACGATAGTCAGGTCGCAGTCGCCGGCTGCAACGTGGGATGTTCATTAAACCTGAACGGCTTGTATCTCACACGCCGAAGTTTCTATTGTGAACCTTTTGTTTCGAAATTAACTAATTTTGACGACAAAAACGAGAGTTTGTTAACTGTTTACAGGTGAGCGAAAAGTGTACCCAAATCTAAAATTTGTCGCGCCTCCTCGACGGCATACGGGGCGGCCGTCGCTTGGGCACTGTTTGATAGGCCTCCGATGGGCAACAGCTCCCTGGCGTACGGAAAAGTGTCCTCCCATTCGAGAAGAATGCCGGTCGCTCCAATATCTTTAATGAATGGGAAAAACTGCAACGAAAGAACTGCATTTATTATAAACAAATGAGTTCCGGCGATGCTATCGGTTTGTCAATCGGTAAAACAAAGTAAAGTGATCTACATCTCGCCCTACGCTTACCTTCTCGAAAAAGTTGATTTTAGGCGGGGCACCTTTCAAGTCCAAGTGCACAAGTCTAACAACAAAATGCAAGCGTTTGTAATACTGTAAGCGATTGTTATCGATGAAAAGGTAGGCGTTATTTACCTCTGCGTTCCAAATGTCAAATTCTCCATTTTAACCTAAATTGCGTAGTGGAATTTTGGCCACAGCGGTTGGCAGGAACATGCTCAAAAAAATGCCCGTTTTATCTTCCCTTAAATAATTACGTAATATGCGAAGTGTACTCTTTTTTAATAACAAAATAGCGACAATTCGTGATATTTATTTTTATGTAATTTCGTAGTTTACGTATTTTAGTAGATTGGGAAATTTTAACTGTGGTCGCCAATTGACTTCCAGCTGGACAGTGTTGAAATTATACAAAATACTAAAGTTGTGGTTGTACAAAACTGCCGGTTCAATGTTCATCTGTAATGCAAAAGAATTTCATAATGATTTCAAAATATGCAGTAGTCGGTTGTTGTTGAAGTTTCGCCAATCATCCTGTTGGCTTCTTAAGTTAAGCTCTGAAGAAGTTAACAAGATGATTGGCGAAACGTCACCACAAATTCGATTCAACAAAAACCGACGCAGGAAGAATTCAAAAGTTTTGTAAATAGGATTGCAGGAGCCTGCGGAAGTTTCTTTGAAAAAAAAATCTGAACACAATGGGCCAAAAACTAAATCAAATTTCCATAGATGTTAGCGAGATACTTATGCCTTAGTAAATTTTTAAGGCATATTAAAGCATAAAAAACGGCTAATTTTTTAGTAGTAGTGTTTTATTTAATTATTGCAATAAGTTAACAGCAATAGCAATATTATATGCCAAAACACTGGGTTCCCTGTCGGTACATCAGTTGTTCGCGCTTCAAAATTGATATCATGAAAACAACATCCTATATATATATATATATATATATCTATATATATATATATATATATATATATATATATATATATATATATATATATATATATATATATATATATATATATATATATATATATATATATATATATATATATATAGTATATCAGCAGAAATGTTACTGTGACAGATGAACAAAAAAAAATTCCATTAAGGTTTGTTCAATAGTATCTTTACAAATGTCGCTGCAAAAGGAGGCCCAATCGATAATAGTATGAGTACTATTGGGACCTAATCTAAGCGGGTGTGCTATAAAGTTATGGGCATATTGCATACTCCAACCGTATATAATATTGAGACTCTGTCTTTAAAGAATATGACATTTCCAAGGCCACTTGTCGTTTAGGTCGGGTCCCTTTATGAAAGATCCTATTACCAAAACCTATAGGTGTAACAGCATAATAGAAAAAACAAAAACTTCATTACTAATGAAAAACTTCATTACTAATTACTTTAGAAAGTTTGCTCCGAGAGAGGATATATTATTGTATGGGGAAGAACAAAGGAACTGGACTCTTTCCAATTGACGTAATTTTATTTGGAAAATAAATTACACCTTTTACTCGTACTCTAAGACGTGTTTGTGGTAAAACAGGATGTACCTAAAAAAAAAAACGAATAACGTATAGTGACAGGCCACGATCTGAAAAATTACCCTTCCGAATTTAACACCTCGTTCAGTTTCGCTCGCGTCACGAACGTATCGTCGCATTGGTACCAGTAATCTTGCTGTTGCCTAACGAAAGCAGTGTAATGGCCGCCACTGAAATTCGAGCCGCAATGATTGACGACCGCGAATAGAGAGTAGCGATTATCGAATGGAAAAGCGGTGCGGTTTTTCCTTCTACTCATAAACGGCGTCAAATCCAACATTTCCGGAAACGAAATCGATGTGGTGATTTTTCGCCCACCCTAAATAAAATTTAACTCCTATACCCCACATAATTTAACAGAAATTAATAGCTTACGAAAGTAAGTGAATTCTGTTTATCCAAACCTTAAACAGACTTAAACAAATTTCATTCAGAATCGTTATTATCTAGGACATATTAATTTTGTAAAGAAAAAGTATGCCATGAATGTGAAACGTGACAACGGCGCATGAAAAAAAGTTCGCTCACGTTCTCCAGGTGTTCGAAACGTTTCAGGTGGAAAATGGCGACGATGGGCAGCATTTTCATCGTAAATTGCTTGGTCGATTCCTGGTTCGAGCCGCAATTTTCGCAAAAGATTTTTTCGCGCTTGCCCAGATGTTCTACGCTAGTGAACCTTTCCAGGCAGTCGGCAAGGGAGCACGGCGGTCTGCCGTTTAATGTGACCGGCCCCAAATCGAGCGAAAAATCCCAGCTCAACTCAATCTTCGTAGAGACGCCACTGAATTATGGAAGGGAACAGATGTTTCTTAAACAATTTTCTCACTCTTTTGATGCTATAAAAATTATTTTTGTCATTTATGAGAATCACTCGTTAAATCGGGGGTTAAAAAATGTTCAAAAGCAACTGTAGAACCTTTTTTGTCTTATTGGCACATCAAACGTTTCCAATTTCCTAGTTTTCCATTTTGAGATTATGGATTTCCCCAATGCAACAATAACTATGTTTATTGAGTGTCAAAAGTTAAAAACATAACCTATAAAAACAAAAAGCTTCCAAAAAAATTATACATATTTTGCTCGAACAAATTTTCTATTACCAAAAAATTAGCATTTAAAAAATATTCCTTGTTATAGGTAATTTTTATCCGATAAAATGGATGTGGAGATTGCTTCCTGTCTACCGGACTTTTAAAACCTTTTAAGTCACACAATCTAATTCATGAAGAAATGGATGCAGAACATAAATGTGTTAGAAAGAAACTCTGGGGTTATGAGATTATTGCGCATGTGTATATGTACTATCAGAAAACAACCTATCCAAAACAGCATAATAGTTGCGAAGTTACATACAAAAATTTCAACATCAGAACTACTAACAAAAAAAACTGAGAATCTTTTTGCTTTATATATAGAAAATACATAATAGTATATTATGCAACAAGTGCGGTAAACGGCATTTGACTCACGAGTTTATTTGACACGAGCGGAGCGAGTGTTTAATAAACGAGTGAGTAAAAAAGTTTACCGAACGTGTTGCATACTATACTTTTTCTACGACTGTTAGTTTTTGGGTACATTTTCGCAAAACACGAATACATTCACTGACATAACTGTCAGAATTGACAAACGTGAAAATTCAAAGCGTGGGAAATATCTCCGAAAACATCCGATTGGCCCTAAACCCGTGCGGTAAAATCCCGGAAATGTGTGAAGTGGCTCGGATTCGTGGGAAACGAAACTGACGTGGGGTAAAGCGACGCTTCTGGCACGCTAGATCGGTGCGTAATTAGGTATTTTACAGACGGGAGTAGAAAAGCATTATTTCTCAAGCAGAGGGTTACTTAAATAGGTCTGTGTTGCTTTAATAAATTGTTCTCAGATATTTAAAATATAGATCAAGTAGGGCTTTTCTTTTATTTTGCAACAGTGTGAGTATTCCTGTCTCTCTTTCTTCGTGAAGGGTTTCTCTTCCTACCAGCCTTCTAGGAATATTAATTCCATGCTTTTAAGGAAGTCCGCGCTCCAGGTTTTTCTTCTTCTTTACTTGTATTGGCCTCGACTGCTGAGATCATTCGCTTAGTTACTACTATAGTTCAACATTAATACAAGCAGGGTTAACAATGTACACCATGTTTAAACTTTAATACAAATAGGTTAACGAATTATGTTGATCACCAACCAACCCATTCACGAAGCTCCCCTGGCTTCCACCATGGACCTCCAGGGCCATCCGGCCCGGTTACCGGCGTGTATGGAGAAAACAGCGAAACCGCGGAACAGTTATATCACTAAAAGGCATTATCTATTCACTAAATCGAACAGAATAACAATTTGACCGAAATTAAGTTGAAAAACTCGGATTCTGTATGCAGTGGACAATCTACCCATAGAATCGCGCGATCCAGGTTATGTTGTTTTTACTCTGCGCGCGCATCAGAATGTCTTAAGAAATGTTGGGTTAGGTACATACTTGCAATTTTGGCAAACCACGTCGCTTTGTAGATGTCCCGTGAATATTTGATGAATGATACAGGGACAAGCATTGATAGGCGTGGGTTTCACAACCGTTTCAGAACAGTGTTTATGCAACACGTTCAAGATGGCTATAAAAAACTCATGGGCGTCTTGCTGTACACACCCCGCTAGGTGCGGGGCTTCGGACCATGTCAAATTCAATAAGTCAGGGAGGGCCAATGGAATCGTTGATCCTTTATAGAACTCCTGAAATCATTTTGAAAGTACCACCCGGCAAGTGTGTGACTCTCAGCACATTTCAACCTGGAACAGTTGCGACACATAGGCCAATTTTGAGCCGTCATCTCCCGATACACCTTTACATTTATGCCTTTCAGCTAGAAAATAATCCCTCAGTGGGGGAGTGTGGATAAGCGCTTGCACAATACAGTTCAAATAACAAGTTGAACCCATGTTCACTAATCCTCTCAAACCCATCATTGAATCTGGACCAATGCATATTCTTTCGGTTCTGTGTGCGAGGAGCTGCCTCTCCTCGTCCGTGGGATCCCATGATGTGCAGTCGAATAATCTAAATAATACATTTCCTTAATGGTATTGATTAACATGGCATCGGTTAATACCTCTTTTTGAACCTGCCAGCTCTCATTTTATTTTTCCACGCGATCGCGTCGAAAGCGGCGTCGTAGATGTAATCACCACAGGGAGTGCAGTGCAGCTGTCCGTATGAAAGGTCCATGGAGAACAAGTGGCCTTCGACCGCCGTGTGCTCTCTCATATGATTGCGACAGCCGAAATAGTAGCAATCGAGACACACATGCATGGACGGGCCCCGTTTTTTGCAAGCGCGACAGTATACGTTGCATATCTAAAATAATGACGCGCGGTAGATCGGGGACTAACCGCGGACACACCGCTACTTTCAGCGCTTTTGCTTCACAACTGTTGCCGACGACAAACACCATATGCGTCCATTTCAAGCTGTCCATGTTTTTTGGGTTGCTTTTGTACCGCTCGAAATGCTCGCAGCCCCGAGCACTCATTTTAAAATCGAAAAAACACGACAACCACTAACAAAATCAACCGCAATCAAATGCGACTGCATACACAACAATATCAACCATGGAATGCAGAAAAACTAGTTGAAACCTCAAATTAGCGGTACGCAACTCCAATTTTTTATTCTGTGCTTTACTTTTTTGACGCTCAGCTGATTTGTTTACATTTTAAGCTCCGCGAAATACGAGCAGAAGTACGTCCCGGCGCAACTATCTGGGTGTCCCGTGAGACTAGACGAAAGCGACGAGACGAAGGCACGTCTTTTCGCGAAGCAGCGAAACTCGTCTGCCACATCAAACGGTTGCCACGATGGCTTCGTCATCACCGTCTCCGCTAAGAGAACCGTCGGCGCAGTTAAATGAAAATTCCGAAACTACCGCCATGAAGACCGAAAGCGAATCCCCGACGCCGGAAAACTCGGTAAGAATCGCACAATCGCGGCTCCTATTAATCGTCAGAGTTGTCGCAAATCGTTTTTTCAGTTGCACCTGGGCGAGATCGCGATCGAGGCTTCGGAAATCGTAAGCCGCCTGGAACAGGCAGTGGAAGCCGAGCCCGTCAAAAAACCGACCGCGACGACGGTGTTCCTCGGCCTCGAAAAAAAACACAGCAACGAAATAATACAGATAATACAGGGTCTAATTTCGACCGACGAGGACGGTGAACCGTTGCACGTCCCCCCCGTCGACAGTGTCACCAAATTGGTGATGATTTCGCACAGTCTGGCCGCGTTCTGCGGCAGCCTTCAACGTCCCGTCGCGCAGAAACTGAGCGCTAGGTTCACGGCCGATACCACGCGATGGATCAGCCAAATGTTCGGGTGAGTTTTATGTTTTCAAGGAACAAAGGTCGCGCCCCTCGAAAAAGGGGGTTTTAATTATTTAATACCGATTTAAAAGGGATTAGCATTTCTCATTAGAACTTCCGCAAAGCGGTAAAAAATGATCACATGAGTTTGAAATTTCATTAGTTTTCCAAGTTGTCACAGAAGAGGGATATAGCAGCTTTTGGTTAGGTAGGGACACTGATGGGGAAACAAATTTACCGGCGTTGCCGATTTTTTAAGTAAAATGAACTATTCTGTTGGACTGCCTGGACAAGAAAATTTAAAATAAGACTAACGTAGCATGGAGTGCTTGGTAATAGTGCGCTTAGTGTTCGTTTTAATCGGATCTTTTTATTTATTTTTTCTTCCTAATGTTATTTACCTTTTGAATGGCCGCCCATGATGCCCCGTTTCAGATTTCTAGATTGTTCCGCGTTCTACCACGAGGACCTACTCGAGGGCGTGGTCCGTGTTACTCGCATGATGCTACACTACAAGTACCCGCGATACCTGGAAGATGGCGCGCTGGCGTTCACCTCATCCCCGCCCACCATCTACAGCAGTATCGCGAGTCCTTTAGGGGCGGTGCAGCACATGTGCCGCCAGTTGGGATTGCCGCTCGCCTGCGTCAGGCCCGTGCCCGTGAATACCCATTTCGGTAAGCGCGCACTCTATACATATTTTTTCGATTTAAAGTTAGTTTTTCTGCCATTTCCGCGAGATTCCAGGCTCACAACACACGATGGATGTGGCGGCGTTGCAGAAAATGCTTTCGGACGACTCCGCCCACGGTCGGGTACCGGCGATCGTGATCGCGGACGCGGGAACGCCCGTCACTGGCCACGTGGACAACCTACCGAGGATAAGGGAACTGTGTCGCGCTTACGACTGCTGGTTGCACGTGCGCGGTCACAGTTTGGCCGCCCTCACCTTGCCCAGTCACCAACGGAACGGGCCGGTACGTTTGGCAACGCCGCTCTCCGCGAGAAACCCTTTTTAATCGATTTCGATACTTTTTTTTAACTTCTTTGTAGATAAACCCGATCGCCGACAGTTTTACGCTGACCCCGGCCAGCTGGTTGGGCGTTCCGGGTCTTCCGAACGTTGTATCCTTTTGGGGAAAAAAAGTATTTAACCGATTTTAAAATTGGATTAAATATTTGAAAAGGCAATACGTTTGTGTACTCAACTAAATAGTTTATCAGGTAATTTGCAGGTGTTTAACCCGTTTTAAAATGAGTTTTTCTCGGCAATTTCCAGATGGGATTGTGCATGTTGTAGTTGTTCGTTTGGGCAACGATTCAAAATTAAAGTGATAATTATTTGGCGGCAATACGTTTCCCGATATTTAGAGTGTAGTCAGTGTTTTTAGGGTATTTAGTAACATTTTTCACAGTTCAAGTTTTCGATGGCACTTGAAAGTATAAACAACCCCCAGATATTGACTTGATTTTAAACTATTTGTTAAATACGACAAAATGAGAATGAGGTAAATGAGGTATATGGTATATTATATTCAGTATTATTTTTTAAATTTGTTTATTAAAACCTTTTCAAACACATTTTCATCTTTAGACAATACTAATAGACCAAATGGAAAAAGCCGTGACCGGGATTTAACGATTTTAAGGTGTTTACTCCGATATTTGCCCTTGACCGCGCGCGTGCAGACGTTGTACAGGTTATGGGACAGTTCAACGAATAGTAACCGGAAACAAGTGGGCGCCTCTAGGGAGAGCACGCTGCCCCTTCTGGCGGGCCTTAACACCGACCACCACGGCAAGCGGATACTGGCGCTGCCCGCGTGGGCCGCGCTCCAGAGCCTCGGCAAGGAGGGCGTGATCGCGCGCATGCGCGACAACTTCCTAGCCAGCGAGCGCCTTTTCGCCGCGCTTGACGTGTTCAAACACGTCAGGCTGCTGGTAATGACGCGCGCTCGAAATCCCTTCCCAGCACCGATCGCGCTGTAAATTTTGCAGGGTCCGAGGCCGGGCGGCGAGACCGGCGCCTTCACCATACCCGAGCTGATGTCAAAACCAGCTACCGTAGCGGTCGGTATCTGCTCCCCACTGTAATGGACCTCCCCCGAACCTCACGTTTCGCAGATGCTGTTCGAGTCGACGTCGACGTGCGTCGTATTCCAGTTCACGCCGGAGGCAGAGGAGGAGCGCGAGAGCGTCGTCCGTGTACCTCCCTACTATGACCGGCTCAACTCGTGGCTCGGACAGATCCTGCAGATCGACGCCCCGCAGGTGCCAATCGATATTTGCGAGCTGGATAACGTCGGCGTCGTGCTGCGTTTTTGTCCTTTCGAGAATGCGACGTCGGGACGCCAACCGACCGTCGACGAGCTCAGGGCGTTTGTTCAGTGCCTTGAGCAGCAGCTGGTCATATTGCGCGCCACTATCCACCACCGCGAGACTTTTAGGAAGCTGGTCGCCAGGTCGCCAGTGTTACGACTCGTCGAGTTGCCCGAATGGGCCGGTAAGTAGAGGTTTAAAACTAACCAAAACTATCCGGTGTCATGTATTTACCTGGTTTTATTTATTCGTTGGGCGTTTACTTGGACCTTTTAAAGTATTTAAAGTGACAAATGAGTTATTAGTAGACAGTATATGGGGACGTCTAGGTATGGGCGGGGTCAGGTACTGCCCCGAGGGTTGGGAGAACCTGCTTACCGACCAAGCGAGGGAAGAGCTCAACAATTTGAACGCGGCGTTGGTGGATGCGCTCCGTTCGACCGACGCCGCCTTCTCCCTCGGTGAGGGACAGGACGGCCTGGTGTGCGTGCGCTTTGGCATGTTGACCCCCCAATCCGACGTCGAGGAGTTGCTCAACCTGGTGGTGCGGGTCGGCCAGTCGGTGGAGGAAAATTCGCGCGTCCTCGACTCCATGAGCGAAATCGTCAAGAAAGGTAAAAAAAGCTTGATAATAGAGAGGAGGTAGTAACCTGGGGGCGGGCCCGCAGGCATCGAAACCGCTACCAAGGACCTGCAGAAGGAAAACGAGGAAAGGCTGTGGCAGGAGGGCATCATCAGACACGTGCCTATCGTTGGCAATCTGGTGAACTGGTGGTCGCCAAAGACGAAGGAAGCGGGCATACGGGGCCGCAGTCTTAACCTGACGCAGGGCGTGGTCGAGTCGACGGAGAACATCTACAAGTATCATATGCAGTTGACAGCGGGGACAGGGGGACCTAAGAGTCCGCCGACGCCCCAGATTCAGACGCCAGTCAGTGCGAACCATTCGAGGTCGAGTAGCCACGCCTCGAGTCAGGCATCGGTCGCAAAGGAGGGGCGAGGAAGCGGAAACCGCCCCTCCCAGGATAGCGACGATTTGACGAAGCCTCCCGCGAAGCCCTAACTGACGTATTACGTGGAGGTGTAGTGATGGGCGTAGGGCCTGGCGACTTGCGATTGTTTTTTTTTTGTTTCGGTATTCGAGCGCGGCCGTATGCCGAAAAAGTAGAAAGGGGGCGTGTCTGGAGGATTATTAGTCGTGTAGCTTTTCTATTTTGACAAATTTAATTTTTTTGATTTTGATTTTTGAATAGTCTGCCTTTTTTTTGGTTTAACAAAGAATTACCGTTTTGAAATGTTCCCGTAAATTCCAGTTTAGATTTTATTTATTTTAAAGAAAAGTTAAAATTTAAATTATTCTTTGAACTTCGATTTTTTGTGCACCTGACTTTGTGGTCCGCCGACGCTGGAGCAGATACAGCACGAGTTTTGCCAAGAGCCATTAAATTTTACAAAACTGTGCATACAAAGTTCGGTGCACATTTAGCCAGTTTTTTTTTAAAGGCTGTATATATTTTTTATTACTTTAGTAAGTTTTCGTTAAAAAATATTTTTTTATTTTCTGCCACCCCCTTGGCATCGTTCGAAAATCCGTCTTGCGCCGAAGCCGGGTCTGTAAAGGTGTACATACGCGAGGCGAGCTGGCTCGTCATTGTTATCATTTAATTTTTACTTTATGGTATTATATTCTTTACCGTTGCGGACTGTACGTATTAGAATGTATTTTAAATACATATTTGGTGCACCCGGATCTTCCTTGTTGTACACGTCGGTAGGTCTTAGCTGCCGAGGAAATAACCAAAGAGCTTGCGAGGCTTGACATTTGTAAAATAAAGATTTTATTCGAGTCGCATTTTGTTTTCCCTCCATCCCTTGGCGTCTTCGGAGTGGCAGCGTGTAAAGTGCATAAAAATACCCGGAACCTAGACCCTATAATGCCACCTTCACGGTTGTTGACGTGTGTATTCAAAGCAAACACGATTTTTAACGCTTTCACATTCACTAAATTGGTTTTATCATTTCATTCTGTGCTTTCGACGCTGGTCAAAAACAAAACTCCATTTGAATAAAAATATTTCTAAAAAGAACGTCAATTAAAAAAAAAGTCAGAGCTGCAATTCAATTCAATTATGCGTTCACAAAAAAATGTTGGGCTCGACTGCTAGGATCATTCGCCCATTGCCGACTTCCGTCGAGGATTTTCGCTTCTGGTCAATGACCACCACGTGCAAAGAAGAAAAATAACCAATAATTTGCTCAGCTAGCAAAAAACGATTCTGACCGATACCAAAAAAATCGGCTTCCCCCCGCTTACCCCGCGGACCAACCGGACCCATCCGGCCTTCATACCGGCGTGAACAGGGAAAAACGACGGGGCCGACGACGATTATCACTTTAAAACATGCACTGAACACTAAAAACACTAAGTCCACACAGTGGAAACCGATATCAAACTTTTGAGGATGAATACAAGGGATTCTGTCGGGAGCGAACGGAGGTTAAACCGCCGCGTGCAATGCTCCACCACAGAATCCAATCAGAGCTGCAATTGCGCAAACTTAAAAACGACAGAAGATTGAAGTGCGCGTGCTGCCATCTATTATTGGGCAGGTCGATTAGGCCGGTAATTTTTCTTAGCGAACGAACCACAACCAAATTCCAAACTTCTGATTCAAGAACTGTTGTGTGTAGTTGTAACGAAGTTGTCGTTCGTGTATTATTGCCGGCGACGAATTTCAACGTAAGTTTACGGAACAGTCACTCTCTCGTCGCAATAGGCACCAAGTCCAACAATTAGAATAAAACCCGGGGAATTTCCTGTCAAATAAAACAAGCCGGTACGAATATTTTTTTACTGATATTTTGCCGACAATTTGACGCTTTAAGAAAACAAACAATTCATCTCTCTAGCCCAACGTGTTTCCTCCTCTTGACCCGAAAATAGTGATCGATAATTTCCATAATGCCTCCATTTGTCCACCCGAATCCCGATTGAATGTGATACTCGCCGCCGCCCCCGAATTGACCGCTCGTCACCGAATCATACTTCTCGAACATAACCTTATTCTCAACGAACGCCTTGACATTTGAATGGACCCAGCGTTTCGCAAGCATTTTCGCAAACTCGGCCGCCTCGTCGTCTCCGGACCGGGCCAACCCGAAGATCACAATGTTCTGATAAGGTGCCCACGCGTTAGGAAAGTCCCACTGGAGGCCTGACGGCAGCAACGTTGACGGCACCCCGTGAAAATCGAGACCGCCGTACCGTTTCAAATAACGCACTGCCTTGTTGCCCCTTTCGCTTTTAATGTCCGCTGCGACCGCATCTGCCCACAAGGGGGCGAAATTGCTAGCCGCAAAATACTTTCGTGGCCTGTTTAGTTTCGCGTCGTAGTCGTACCTGCGGAACGAAAGTAAGGAGACAGTCAGGAAACTAAATCGAACCGCAAAATCACTCAAACTTGTCCTAGAAGAAATTCCGATATGCGGCATCTATCGGTCGCAGAAGCGAAGTACTCCTCAAACAAGCTTCGGAAGGAGTACGCCCGATGGCGCTGATGCCATATTTAGATAGTCGAAATAATTGATAACTTTTTATTTCTCGGGTAATTTTATACTAGGATTCGCGCGGGTATATAAAAAATCAACCAACCATATTCCGTCCTCATCGTGGTAGAGCACCTGTTCGATGCTGTGTCGCCATTTCTCCGCCAGATCAAGCCAGTAGCGCGCGTCCGTAGGTTCCCGCAGCACGACGTAAAAGTAGTGCATGCAAACAAATGACTTGTACAGAAACGAGTTAAGACACACGGGTACGTTGCGTCTCGTCGATATTTTGGACAGGTCGCCGTCTGGATCGCCGTTGCCGTTAAAGATCCAGCGCGACGTGAAGTCCCAGCCGCTCTCCGCGCCGCTCTTGATGTCCGCGTAACAGTCGTGCTGAAATTTACGACCCTGCATTGTTTAATCACAGACCACAGACACAAAGCGACGGCGAGCAGCGGCGATAAAGTTGGCCATTGTGTTGAGTTAGCCCTGGTGTGAGATGTCAAAGTTGTGTCGCCGTTTTCACTGTATCAAATTGTTTGCAGAAAGTCATATGAAGTTCCTGCGACAATTCAAAGGAATGCAGACAAAGTTCGACAAGGTAGGATCTAAACTTTAATAATTTACCACCGTAGATTTTAATTGTTTTATCGACAATGTCGGGCCGTCGCGCAAGCGCGGCTCGGCGCACATTGAGACAAGAAGGCTGTTATGCGGATAATATCAGTTAACTTCTAGAACATATGAAATAGATTTGATGTAGTAAGGTATTTAATATACACGATGAAAAATTTGATGATAGATATTTACGAAAAGCAGGATAGATTGCTCTAAAAATTTGGTCCGCGTGGACCTTCATAAAATTTTGTTCATTGTGGCTTCGCAACTTCCTGTATTATCAACATAATCAAAACTACTATATTATCGAATTACTCTAGCTATTCCAAACATATATCATAGATCACACAAATTAATATCTGAAACCGTTTTGAAGTAACACAGTTGAAAAAGAATGTGTGTTTTTTTTTTAATTTAAGTAGCTGTAGAATTTAAGCGGTTAGACTTAGTACAAAGTCAATGGCACTTTCCTGGATCGTCTTTGTATAATCTTGCCTTATCTTTCGGTTGAACCAGAATCACTCACTCACTCTCAGTCAGTTCGTTAAGTTTACAGAAAAAATGAGGCCGCTGCAAAAGTGTTTTATTTTGTATTTATAAAAAAATATGACAATATAGGGGAAATAAAAATCTTATATGGTTTCAACATTCAATTTTTGAAACAATTTTCAGATCAATAAATTTTCAGTTGATTGGCTTAAAATTTATTTTGAAAAGTAACCCTATTTAATATTTAAAAACGTTCAATTCATTAACTCTTTAACAGAAACAATTTAGCATTTGACTATAAATTTTTTTTGAGAAGGTTCAATAAAGAAGGTCAATAAGTTTGGATTTTTGCCACAATATTTTTTCACATTATCTAATCGCTATATGATAATTGATATTGATAAAATGAGTGGTTCATCCTTCTTGATCCGGCAGCTAAATCTATATATATCCATTAGAGAGATTAATTTGGCGTTCTCTGAATCAGTTTTCTGATATTGGTAGATATAAATTAATAATCTTAATCTAGGTAATATTTAATTATAAGAGATCTAATGAGGAAATTTCAACATAAAAAAATTGTAGAGAGTAATAAAATATGAAAATCTCGAAAATTGGAAAGTTCGTAATTATAAAAAAACGTTAGGGCTTTAGGGGTTGGTATTCGAAAATCTAATTATTTTACTGATAATATATGCTTGATATATTTTTCATACACGGAATTTGCAGCTTCGTATTTTTTCCCTTTTTGTCCCTCTGTGCGACGCGTTGTATTTTCATTTGGAACATTTGTTTTTCGCTTGACGCGTGTTTAAAGTATCCCGTCCAGCTCAATATCGCGTCGATCGGTCGCGGCTTGGTTTTTGACGACTGTGACGCGCGGTAAACGTAAAACATCGGTTCACTAACCAAATCTTCCGTGTTATTCTCGTACACGGCGCACGTCTCTAAATCCTCGAGGTACGACTCGGGACGGGGCGTGTCGCTTTCCGAGTCGAACCGCGCCAAAAAATACTCGTCGCCGTTTTTTTGGACCGGCGACACCCTCTTCGTCAGCCAAAAGCGCAGCTCGCGCTCCAGCACTTTGACGTTGCTGCGCAGGAACTCGAAATCTTTCGTATAGTGTACGTAGTCTTTCATCATCAGCGTAAGTACGGGCGGCTGCGACCTAGAAAAGCGTCGCGACGTTAGGGGCCATCGGAGAGGCGCCCGTGTCACGCGTTCCCACTCGCCTATTGAGGTAGTAGATGCGCCCCCCGTTCGGGATGAAGCCGTACGTGTCGACCATGTACAAAAAATTGTCGATCACCCCTTTCGCAGTCTCTTTCATGTCACTCAGCAACAGGCCCTTGAGGATCCAATATGAGTCCCAGTAGTAGAATTCCTGAATATGAGGAAAGAATAAAAAAATCGCTGTAAAATTTATTTATTCGGTGCGAACTAAATATATGACGATTTATCCGAACTTGTTTATACAAGTGTTGCCGAGTAAATTGAAAAATTGCTGTGATTCTAATAATTTTGTGATTCTCTGTCTTCAGTCAGCGTAACATCATGGATTTTTCTCCATCTACTGTTTTTTGTCACCTCGATGACATCGTGCATTGGCTTGCTTACAGCTAGTCGTGATCTGGTCTATCCATCGAGTCGGAGAGCGGCCACGTGGTTTACGTCCCTCCACCTTGCCTTTCCATATTGTCCGGACTTTTCCTTATTATATGTCCAAAATATTTTAATCGTAATTTTAAAGTCGGATTTTACTGGAAAGCTTGTTGGTAATATTAAGTTCATTTATACTGGAGACGTTTGTACGGCGTTCAGTCCATGGAATACCTAGTATACTTTTATAACAATACATCTCGTTCCGTCTATCTGAGAGTTCACGATTCGCAGCCAAATGTCAATATTGGGTGTACCAGACAGTTGATTAGCCGGTTTTTGATGGCTCTTGAAATCTGGCGGTATTTCCAGATCTTGGTCAGTCTCCCGACCTTGCACCTACGCTTCATTTCTGCCTGTCAATAGTGATCCCACGTATACGTATGACTTAACGACCTCAAAGCGGTCAATATGATTTATATTTGGTTATGTTGCCTATCAACTATCATGATTATGGTTTTTTGTGCATTTAGTTCAAGACCGAGCCGATGGTTTTTGTTTTCTACACTATTTATTAAATTGATTAACTCTTCTTGACTGCTAGTGAGTAGATAGTGCTGTATCATCTGCAACGCGTAGATTATTTATTTTTTGCCCACCGTATATGATAAATAGTTGAGGAGACAAAATACACCCCTGTCTGACTCCTTGTTCAAGGGACATTTCCTTTGAAGCTGAATCTAACTGATCCTGTACTGTGCTGATACAACTGGCTGATAAGTGAAATAAAGCATTACGGTACCCTCACTCCCTTTAAGATTTTCCACAGGTGACTTTATCGGAAGTTTTTTTAAAATCTACGAAACAAATGGAAAGAGGGATGTTGGATTCCCGTGCTTTTTCTATTCTCTTTCTGATCTAAAATATGTTTAATTTTTGTGAAATTGAAAAAGTCTGCTTATTTGTAAACGGACTTCACAATCGACCGAAAAAACCTATCGAATAAGCGCATACTGAGTGTTTACCCGGAACCGTCCGCCGGGAATTATGAATGCGTTCCGCACCGGAATCAGGGAAAACGTTTCCGGATGCTCGAACACGTGGTGCGATATCTTCCGCGTCAGCTGGGGCCAGATTCCGACAATCTGCGTCAAAAACATCCGGATCTGTTTGTCATCTATCTCGCGGACGATCTTCGGCTCCGGACGAAAGTCGCGCGGATAAAAGTCCTCCATCTCGCCGATCATTTGGAAGTTTTGGTAAACGAACTCCTCGATCTGCGCCTTGCTCGGTCTCCGATTTGTTTTCCTCATCAGGATGTCGAAGTTGGTTAGCGTGACGTTGAGGTTGTTCTTCATCGACATGTCGACGAACGTTTTCGAGTCGTTGAAAATTTTCGCGGTCTGCACGACGTGCAGCAGGTCGCCCTGGCAGTAGACGGGACTCTGGCATGATGGTCTCTGCGCGCCGCTGGCGACGACGACGACCGCGAGCACGAAAAGGCAAGGTCGGATCATTATCGGGATGTGGCGGTTACTCGTAATTTTAAATGACAGCAGAGACGTCGTCGATGACATACCACCCAAAATATATGAGACACTTTGCCCATCGATCGAGGTGTCATTTGAAACGGTTTTAACGGTTTGCACTCGGTTTGAATTACGTTAAAGTTTCGCTTATTTTTCTGGTTTTTTGTAGGATTGGTGCTTATCGAAAAGATTATAAAAAAAGCAAGAGGCATAGGTTTCCAATAAACGATGTTTCTCTGTTCAACAAATGGGCACAGCACTTTCAAAATCTGATTTTCGATAACAAGAGCTGAAAAAAAAATGAAGTCTGTGATACGCATTTTGCGGAAAATAATAAAAGAGCAGGGACCAAAGGGGCTTACATAAGAATGTACTATTACCGTATTCTAAAGAAGCGACCTCCGAAGTCGGTACATAATTGCAATTTTGTTGTGTATTTGTAAAAAATAAACGCACGTATTATAGAATATTACTTTTTGAATTAAATTTTCTAAGATTTTAAAACTAGATTTTTAATTTTTTTTATGCATATCATTCATCTATTTTACTGTCAAAATTAGAGCCTGAAAGCATTTTACTGCAAATTTACAGCGTCAAGATCGAGAACCAAATTCAAAATTTCCGTTTTACGGTAATGACTCGTTTATCCACGGTACTGAAATAATATAAATGTGAGTTCTAAAATCATTTAAACTCTTTGCACCATTTCATCAACTCCACGTTCGCAAACAGTCCTTAGATGACGTACTATCAACTTGATTGACTAGACGTTTCATAAATATCAACGTAAATGGCGCTCGATTCATATAAATACAAATTCAAAAATTCATTAAATTTTAAAGACAAAAGTTATTGAACAGGAATTCAGTGTTATCTAATTAACTAAAACTAACCAAAAAGTGTTTTTCCTTTAGTTTAATCACAAATTAGAATTTATGCGGTAGTTAGTTTAAATTATTTTTCGACTCCCGCCTGTAAAATACCTAATTACACACCGATCTAGCGTGCGGAAAGCGTCACTTTACCGCGTCAGTCTCGTTTCCCATGAATCCGAGCCACTTCGGATATTTGCGGGATTTTACCTCACGGATTTGGGAGCAATCGGATGTTTTCGGAGATATTTCCCACGCTTTGAATTTTGACGTTGGTCAAATCTGACGGTCATGTCAGCGAATGTATTCGTGTTGTTTTGCGAAAAGGTACCCAAAAACAAACGGCCGTAGAAAAAGTATAGTATGCAACACGTTCGGTAAACTTTTTAACTCACTCGTTTATTAAAAACTCGCTCCGCTGCGCTCCGCTCGTTGCATAATATATTATTATTGCTACTTTAGAAATCGATATGATATACAGTACTGACGTTTACCTGATATATTATAAGTCTCTGTGAATGACAAAATATATGATGAAATATGTTCATGATCATCTAATTTACACAAAAATCTCATTATTAGATTATTAATTAATTACCACTGAGAACAAACAACATACATAAAAAATAATAGTTAAAATAGAACCACCCATCTACCATTTTATTTATTTATAGAATGTACACACACAGATATCATAAAAAATAGTAGAGACATGCATATTTTTAATAACTTGTTCAACGATGTTAATTAAACTAAAATTTAAAAATTTGCCAGAACTATACCGGGTGACACAAGAAAGTGGGAACACTATAACTTAAATGAAACTTATCTTTACTTGTCTAATGGCAAATAGCGTTTAATATAATGAACTATTCATTTTTTAAGATAACACCCTAGCGCCCTAGTAGGAATAGCACCCTGGTAGGAACAAAAACTTATTTTTGCAACATTTTGATACCAAAATTTTTAAAATCCGTTAAAAATAAGCTCACAGGAAAAAAAATCAGATAAGTAAATACATTTTCATAAAAACAAAATATTACTTAGGGGACTTTGCTTCTATTCATCGTCAAGTCGGCATGATTGAAAATTGTGACTGTTTGTACATTTTTATATTATCGATTTTGTCGTATTATTGATTTGAATTATCATAGAAAACAATAATCAATTTACAAATGGAGAAAAAGTGGATATGTTTCTGATATACAAGGAATGCGGAAAAAACTCCACAGTCCCGTGCATCGTTTGCAGCGCGCTATCCGGGACGTCGCCTTCCTGCACATTCTTTAGAAAGCTGGAATTAAAAATGAGAAATCCACAAAATAATCGATATGACAATTTTATTATAAGTGAAGAAATGATATGTAGAATGATCTTGAAAGTTATTGTCGTTTTCGCTCAAACCGGAAGTGCAACCATTGACTACATGTTGTCTAAAAATCGGACATTTAGCCTATATTAATTAACCCTTCCAAATTTCAAATCGTTATCTCAAGCCATTTAAAAGTCATAAAATGTTCCCGCTTTCTTGTGTCACCCGGTATATCACGTTTTATCGAATAGTTGGTAGCACCATCTTTAAAAACAAAGATTTCTTTGCCGGCTTTATCTAAAAAAGTGTTAAGTTGTGACACCATCCGTTGTATGGCGCTTGCGTTTTTGCAGTGTCTCAGTTTTCTATATATTTTGGAGGGTATGTGGTTAATAGGTGCAATGAGGATTAAGAAAAAGGAAATAATTTCCAATACATTTAATTTGTTTGATAACAAAACAATATAATACGTACATATTTACAGCGGTATACAGCGGAAAGTCGGATAAAGTTGTATTTAGGCTTTTCGCTTTAATTCATTTTGAGTTTTCGAGTTGATCCATAGTTTTGCAATTTGTAAAATTTATAAGAAATGTCTTAAAAATAAAAAATATATCAAAACATAAACTTATGTTTCCGTTGTTTCGCAAGGAAAGTTTGTTTTTTTCGCAGAATTCGATAGCCGGGCGTTTTTTAAATATTTTAAAAAATAATTGTCCCGTAATTTTTTGTTGTCATGAAGCGCAACTCGACCTTCACCCCCCCCCCCCCCTCCCGCGACGTTTATTCCTCAGAAAAAAAAATCCGTATAAAGTTGAGCACGACTCCGTTGGTCCACCCGAAGCCGGCTTGAACGACGTACTCGCCCCCCCCACCGTACCGGCCCGGGTCGACTGCGTTGTACTTTTCGAACATGACGCCGTTTTCTTGGTACCCGATCATCGTCGACGTCACCCAACGGTTCGCGAACAGGTTCGCGATAAACGTCGCGTTCTCGTTGCCCGAATTCAACAGTCCTAACACGACGAACTCCTGGAGGGGAGGCCACGCGTTTGGCAGGTCCCATTGCTCGCCGCTCCTGGCCAGCGACGTCGGGACGCCCCCCAGGTATTCGTCGACGCCGTTGTGGATGAAATACGCCGACGCCCGTCCTCCGTACTCTTCGGCACGATCCCGAGAATGGGCTCCCGCCCACAGGGGCACGAAATTGCTCGGGAAGAACAGGCGCCGCGGACGTCGCAGGACCAGGTCGTAGTCGTGCCAGATACCGTCGACCTGGTCGTAGAGGACGGCGTCGATCGCCGCGCCCCACGTCCTTGAACGTTCCAACCAGGCGGTTTGCTTGACGTCGTCGCCGAGGAGGCCGTAAAAATCGGACACGTCGGCGAACGCCTTGTACAGGATTGCGTTCAGGTCCACGGGCACGACACGCTCGACGTCAATCCGCGACAAGTTCGTTTCGGTACCGCCCAGGTCGTCGAAAAACCACCTGGTGGAAAAGTCCCAGCCGCTCTCGGCCCCGCTTTTGAGGGCCCGATAGCAACGCCGCTCGGCGACGTCGTCCTCGTCATAGGGGAAGCACGTCGCTACATCCTGAGAGTACGATTCGGGTCGCGGCGTGTTGCTGGGTGAAGAGTACCGCGCCAGCTCGTAGGTAACGCCGTCCTTGACGACCGCGACGGTGCGGTTGGCGAGCCAGAAAGCGAGCTCGGCCTCCAGGGTGGCGACGTTGGCCGCGAGCCAGCGGGTGTCGTTGGTCGCTTTGACGTATTGGGCGGCCATTAGCGCAAAGACTGGCGGCTGCGACCGGTTGAGGTAGTAGACGCGACCACCTGGTACAGGGAAATAAATAAAATAACAAATGTTTTACGTAATATACTGGATGTTTCAAAAAATATGCATCACCCAAAAAAAAAAGAAAAAAACATTACTCCTGTTGAAAGTTTGTTAATGGCTCAACTTTGATAATTCTTTTTTGTAGGATAGATTTCACGATTTTCTTAAAATTAAATATTATTAGAGAGGAGTAGATATGATGTAAACAGACTTTACAACGCTGTATTTCTTTTATTAAAAAGGATTTTTAATTTTCATCTAATAATGAAAATAACAGAAATATCAAAATTGATTGACGTCGGCATTCTGTTTCTAAAACCAAATTTGCCGTTTAGAAGCGAATATTCGATAGTCAAATTCACTCGCTAACTTGTATTTTAATTTTGTTGACATTATGTCTTTCGAATACTAAGATTGATATTAAAAATTAAATGTCCCTTAGGTCTTTTTTATTATTATCTTTGAAATTTGTATAATTAAAATTTGTAAGATATTAAAAACACACAAAATAATTAGTTATTTGCAAGGTTTACAATACAGTCGAACTTCGATAAGTCGAACTGCGATTTGACACATGAAAATTTCGAGTTATCAAGACTTCGAGTTACTTACTTAAGTTACTTAAACTACAAATGCATGTACTTTTTTGTGAATGAACATTTATTCATTCATTTTTAAAAATTTTGTTATACGTTACATAAATGCCCTAATATCTATGATTTTTGAACAAAAAACGAAAATTATGAAATAGTAGTACATATGTATGTATGTACATATTTACATAATATATGTACATACAAATGTGTTGTATATTTACCCAGTATATATAAACATAGTATGTATGCACATATACATACGTATGTATGTACATATTAAAGTTTACTCTTTCACTGGAAAAAAGTCAGTTATTTGTGACTGACGACCGGATTTCTTATTTTGATTTTCAAGAAAAGCTTCAATTTTATTTAAACAATCATAGAGGGAATCGGTTGTGTATTCTCTGGTTTTCAAATAGGAACGCAAGACAATCAACGAATTTTCAACCAATTTATTTGAAGGTGGTTGCTGAGAATCATCTTCCAATTCCTCCTCCATCGTGTCACTTTCGCAGTCATCTTCGATGTTTAACTGTACCGGTTCGCATCTGCAGGACTCGATAATATGTTCATCAGTAGGAAACTATGAAGTAGCAATATCCTCATCCACATGTAAAGCGTTCACTTCCCATTCAGAATACTGACCAAAACCGGCTTTTTTAAAACAATTGGAAATTGTTTCAGGCTTAACGTCGATATTCCATGCGGTAGTTACGTCGTCAACACAATCCATTAATGTAATGTTATTATTTTTGTTATCTTCGACCCCACTTGCACTGCCACTTTCCATTGCGGTGATGACTGAATGTTTATTTTTCAAAATTGTAGACACTGTACTTGCCGAAATCCCATACTTCACAGCTACATCTTTATTTTTTGAGCCACTTTCCACTTCTTTGATAACCTTGAATTTTTGATCAACAGACAAAGGTTTTAAAGTACGTTTTGATGACATATCAGCAAATGCAAAAACCCAAAAATGTCTTTAATATAATGTGTAAATTGAATAGGGACAGTATTTTTCACTTAGTATTAACTAGTAAGTCATACAAGTGAACTTAGCAAGCACAGAAACTGAACTGCTTGCATAGGTACGTTAAAAGGACAGGTTAAGATCGGTAGTAATTAGGGGGTTCCCCGACTTATCGAAGTTGGCACCAAATCTTTCGTTCAAGTTATCAAGATGTTCGAGTAATCAAGACAAACTAACACGCATTTCCTACTTTTGACGCTATTGCCAACCAATTTGGTTCGACTTATCAAAAATTCCAGTTATCGAAGTTCGACTGCATTTATTTTTTTTAAACATTAAAAACCTTGATCATTGATCTAGTTACTTTTAGGTAGTCCTGGACATGAATTTGTTGTCATTTTCAATTTGAAAAAATCTCTGAAGTTCGATTTTCCGCTTCAAAAAACTTTGCCGTGTTAGCCATGACTTTGGTCGATGGTATACGAAAAACCCGTTTCATTTCACTTTACTAAGATCTATCCGGCAAGAAGAATTATCAAAATTCAGCTATAAACAAACATTCTACAGGAGTAATGCTTGAGCGAGCTTCATGGAAATTAGTATAGTTAGGTCCCGATTAATATTTCAAACGCCCCGTATTAAAACGTTATAGAAATTGGTATAGTGGAGTTCTAAGTAGTCTGAATTCGAACTTCATGGAAATTAGTACAATTAGGTTTTATGTAGTCCTGAATAATAATTCGTTGATACTTTATTCTTAAAGAAATCCGTTCTCGATATTTGACATCAAAAATAAGTCCCAGTTGACCATGACTTTAGGTGGATGTAAAATGAAACAAAGTTTTAGTGCCTTCTCTCCCTTTTGTTAAAATGATCCCAGTTGGCCATGACTTTAAGATGTAGCAATAAGCGAAACAGTGGTTTAGAGCATTTTTCAGGGATCTATCCAATAAAAAAAATATTAAAATCAATCCATAAACAAAGATTTCACAAGGGTGTGCAGTTAAGTAGGACACACTATATAAACATAAGCTTACTTTTGAAGATACGGGGTGTTAATATTAAAAAAACAGTGTTTTTTACAATATGTTTCGCATTGTCATTTGTCGCATTGTCATTGTCAAAAAGAGTTAATCTTGACTTAATTAGATTAAAATTCTTAAAATTGTGAACTATGAGGAAAAGGTGTGAATATGGTCGTACTCTTTACAAAATATCCTCGTATGTTGGAGTCTATGGATAGACCGGGCGTACATTGACATAAACAACCTGTATCTCGATATATGTGTACATAAACAAGTGATATGAAAACCCGCTGTTGTATAAAATTTCTATGTTTCAAATCTTGGAAATCCGGTTTAAAATAATAAGTTAAATAAATTATTTACGGATCCCTAACTGTAACTTAGTTTATATTTCCGCATTATCAAACCTAACACATTTTTTTTTCTTCTGCACATTTTATTATTCCTTGTTTCGTTTGAAGATCAGGCTGGCTTTCGACAGTCATAGTTTTCACCTTCAGTGAGTATATTTGACTAATTGACTGAGCAAAATATTTTGGTGCAACCGAGGCTGCAGCATTACTTAGTTTGTATTTGTGAACTTCTTAATTCTTGATCACTAAATTTCATCAAGAAATAAATACCTTGTGAGGATTATTTTTTGAGGTATTTGCGCAACCGGGCGGCCACTTTTTTTAACTCAGTTTTAGACCGCAAATACGATCACTGACGTCACGAGGGGCCAACCTCGCGTAGTTTTTTGATTGCCATATTTTTAATTTGCAATGGTTTTGATTAATAATTGTTTCAGATGAGTTTTGTAGCCATTAAGCCTGTATTGATATATTTCTAAAATCGTGCAGTATAGCGTGAATAACCCATTCTAAACACTATCTGGCCTCCCGCCGACTATGAACGCTACCGAATTAAATATCAGCGAGCAAATTGGCCGTCAACTGTTTTGTACGCCCCGGCAAAACCGATCAGCGTCCAATTATGTATCCGAAAAGACAGGCGTCCGAGCTTGTGTAACCACTCCTTTTAAGGGCAACGTTAATTGATAACATTAATCCGGTCGATTATTTATTCCGCACGGCGAGGGCCCCAATTCGTTTCGATTATAATTAATTTTATCGATGTAAAACGCGCTAAACGCTTCCCGTCGTTTATTTTATTGCCCGATTACGCGGGCGAGGTTGATAAGGTAACAATCCCATCTATCGGAAAAACGTCAATTATTATTATAATAAGAACATTTAAATTAAATACATAATGAAATATGTGTCGGTAAATTATTTTTTGTACTCCCGTTTGTAAAATGCCTAATTACACACCGATCTAGCGTGCGGGAAGCGTCATTTTACCATGTCAGTTTCGTTTCCCGCGGATCCGAGCCACTTCGGACATTTTCGGGATTTTACCGGTCGGGATTGGGAGCAATTGGATGTTTTCGGAGATATTTCCCACGCCTTGAATTTTGACGTTTGCCAGTTCTGACGGTCATGTCAGTGAATGTATTCGTGTTGTTTTGCGAAAATGTACCCAAAAACTAACGGTCGTACAAAAAGTATAGTTTATTAAACACTCGCTCCGCTCGTGTCAAATAAACTCGTGAGTCAAATGCCGTTTACCGCACTTGTTGCATAATACACTATAAAAGTTCAAAGGTTAAAAATTTTCTGAAATTGCACTCATCACATGCCCTATAGATAAGTACTCATAGATGAACTGGTAAGCGACACCTGCATTTTATAGTATATTTCTTTATTAAATGCATACATGGTAATGCATTTTTTGGGCAACTACATATCATATTTCCTCAAATTAAAATTTATTTGCTGCAAGTACGTAAGCATAATCTTGTTGGCGTCAGTAGCCGATTTTTTTGGACATTCCTGCGGGAACAGGAGTTGACACGCTGCAGGGCGCATATCGCCATTTGTATTGCCGCCATGTTGTAGGCTGATTGTGTTGTGGATAATAGATAAATTATTATCTGAATAGGGAGGGGAACATCTTGTTCCCGTGTTTCAGGGTATGTAGAAATTAAATTATTTAATATGTAATTTTATCTCTCAAACTTAAAAAGTGGAAACCCAATATTGCTGAGTATAGGGAACCTATTGTTCTTCAAGTAAAGGTTGGTACATTGGTAAATTTAAAGTATGGGTTATTCTAGACATCTGCGATAGAAGAAGCTATAAGTGCAAAAAGAGAGAAAGTTATATGGCATAACATTACAACCCTTTACCGGTGTAGAAGCTCCCATAGAACTAAGGTTACACCTACATTGCTCTTGATCTTACAAATTAATGTCTCTGTATATTGTAGGTTTTAGACAATTATGGGCCACAACTTTTTATAAAGAATATATTTTTTTAATAAGCAATACAAAAATTGCTCATTTTTTGCTGAAATTGTAAAATTATTGGCAATTCACTGGTGACCGATCCAAATGAACCGACCTGAAGATACCAAATTTGACTTTGCCAAAACATCGACTTAATTTTATATTGCTTGAAATAAATATTTCCCTTTAATTGCTTCAATGAAAAGTTCTCGCCAATAAATAATAGTTGTACCTAGTATACCTCTTTTCTTGCAATAAATAAAGTAGAATTGTAATAATACAAACATATGTCTTGTAATAGTGTAAGACTTATCCTGACAAATAGAATTTTCTTGCAACAAATATATATTAGTTGAGATACGAATTAAAAAAAATAATTCCCTGAATCCGATATTTATTTGCTCGATTCGAATTAAGTTATTTAATTAGAACGAATGTGCTTTATTTTCAGGAACTAATTTTTTTGTCTGTGTAATATTATGCCAAAGAAAATTATTTTCTCCAATATAACCCCAACAGTGATAGAGGCCATCACGATACGAAAAATAGAGATAACTAAAGACATGTTTTGCACCAAAACAGATCTTAATTTAAAAAGAAGGTAAAAGATTATCTGATAAGAAAAGCTTCCTACTGACTTGAGGAGTTCTAAGGCTCCGACACAAATAATTGTGTTACTGTTCTCATGTTAACTTTGATATTCTTATCTCATTTTTTTTTTGCCTTTCGGTGTTTATAATGTCAGGTTTTTAAGTATTTCTTAAATAATAAATATGTAATAATTAAAGAGGAAGCCATAATAATAAGGCGTTACGATATAGTTATTTTAGTTAATTAGTGCTACAAACTAGTTTTAATTTTGTTTCTGAACTATTTTTTTTTATTTATTTTTATTTATTATTTATTATTTATTTATTTGCTACATTAGCCAGCCTTTACCTAGGCAACGTCAAGTTTAAATTGACCCTAATTGACTGTTTCTGGACCCCAAGTAATCTGATATATTATTTTTAAATTAAATTAATAAATTTAGTTTAGGAAATAATGTTTTGCTAGACTAAACAAAATAATTTTCAGTATTTTCAGTAATAAAAACTGAATATCAATATTATACCTCAATTGGCAAAGTACATATGCATAAACTGACGATTTCTTATCGAGGTGATTAGTCCACGTAAAGTGTTCGTCAATAAAAATTCCCAGATATGTATTTCACAACTCTGGTTTGTTAAACCGTTTTATTATTTAATTTAATAATAATACTCTTATTTAAACCTGTATAGCGAAAAAGCGTCATTTCTGTTTTCGATTCATTTAAAGCAAGTCCATTTTCGTTGCAAAAAGGTTATTTTATTTACCGCACATGTCGATATTTTGGATAAAATATCTCAACTAGCATTTTAGGTTATGACGACCGCATTGTCCGCGTATGCAGCAACGTAATGACAAGGAAATTATTGTATAATGTTATCAAAGAAAATTATGAATAAAAGCGGTCCCAGTATGGTTCCTTGAGGTACTCCACTAATAACTGGAGCATAAAATGAACTAACCGAGATATTATTATTTTTTACCGGTGAGGTAAGATTTTTTCCAACCGTAACTAATTTCGCGCATCCCGCACTTACAGCATTTATCGAGCATTAATTCTATACCTTTCACATCAAAGGCTCTCCTCAAATCAGTCAAATTTATGTATGTTGCCTATTTAAAACAACATGGTCCATTTTACAAAAAGAAAATATAGGGCGTACCTATATATAAGACAAGACATGAACAAAAATATCTTGCTTTATATTTTTTAATTTTTGATTAATTTTAACAGATTACCGATACACGCGTAATTTTGAAGTTGCCTTAACAAATCTTTTTTTAGTTTTATTCTAAAATCGGATATTTTCTTAAGTATCTGACCCTAATTATTATTATTATCGTTATTGTCACTATTTTCTCAACGAAAGGATATTTGTGGCGTTAAAAATTAAATAAGAAATGAAAATACGTAATTAGGACAACGCGCTTAAATAAAAAAAAATGCCTTTGCGTTTTTAAATCGTGGGTAACAAATTATTAAATTTTAGACGGATCGATTCACCCAATCCGTTTGTTTTCCGCTAAACACAATTTATAGTTAAAATTGCTATACAGTTGTGTAGAACTACATAAGCGGAATAAACTGCACTGCTATTAACTAGCGAGCCGTGAAAATGTCGCTGTCAAATGAAAACAAATCTAGCCGTCAGCATGCGCAAAATCGATGTCTAATATATGTACGTTTAAATATTTTATATAAAGCGGTCGACAGATGCATAACGAAATAAACAATGTGTCAAAGTTAATTTCTTAAAATGTATGTTTATTTATAATTTGATTAATTGGAACTTGATGTTTTCATTTAACCTAACATTTTTCAAGCAGTAATTGTATGCATCCTTAAATTAAATGTATTTTTTTGTTAAACTAATCAGATAAATAAAAAAACTCATAAAAAGAACTTCAATTCAAAACATTACAAGAGACGAAAAAGTTCGACAAACCAACAACCAAACTTCCGAAAGAATCGTCTCCCCATTTTTTTTTACTTCTGTGAACTCTTTGATAACAATTATATAGAAACTGTACTTAGATAAGAGCATTACTTGCACAAAAATATCAAATTGCACCTAAGGTATTAATTAATTTGTATTTTTGAAACTTAAATTTGACACCCTGTATATTAAAAACAAAGAATTTCAGTGCGTGAGGCTTTTTAAAAAATTTATTAATTTAAAATTGATACCCCAATGGATATTTATTGTTTCTTTTTTCTTAAAAAAAATGCATTGCCATTGGTGTCGTCCAGATATTGCGTCGCTAGTTTTTTCAGGTTACAGAGAACTCCGAACGAGTGAAACTTTTCTTTTTCCCGTTTTAATTTTGCATACATCAGCCGCGTCTTTTCAATGAAAAAAGTCGTTAGATGGACCGTTTACATACCATTGGGTATGAAACCGTAAGTGTCAACCAGATAGACGAAATTGTCGAGCATGCCTCGTACGGTGTCGTACATTTCGCTGATGAGTAATGCCTGTATTATCCAGTACGTGTCCCAGTAGTATAGTTCCCTGAACCTGCCGCCGGGTACCACGAAGCCCTCGGGCACGGGGATGATCGAGTGGCGGTCGGGATCGAGTGCCACTTCGGGGGCGACTTTGCGGCCCAGCTGGGGCCAAATCGAGACCAGGTTTTTCGCGAACTCCCTCACTTCCGGCTCGGCAATTTTCGCGAGGAATTCCGGGTTGCTCTTGTAGTCGGGCGGCGACCACGACACCTGTGCATGAGTGGGGCGGAAGGAAAAGGAGAGAAATTAATTACAAACAAGTATTCAAAAAAAGTAAAGAATATTATTATTATTATCTTATTTTCACTTGCACTGTCCTATACCAATTTGGAGCGGTTTTAGAAATATTAAGTATTTTTTATTATTTTTTCCTTCAAAATATGTTACCACCAATTATTCTATAACTTAGCTACCCATTTGGAGAACTCACATGAAGTTAAAATTTTGGTAGCAGTTTGCGGAAGCCCTGTATATTAGATTTGTCTAATTATGATGTACAGACTCATTTAAGATTAATAATTCTGAGACGTTACCTTGTATATCATTTAATATTCTAAGAAAAATTTAATTTTGTGTTAACATGATGTAGAATAGCAGCGGAGCATACCTAAGTAGTAAGTTTTTTGAAAGTACCTCTCGCTATGTTATTTGTGCGAAATTTGGAGTTGCCTTTTAAACCACAATTGATCAAGTCATTTTGTATTTCCGTTAAAAAAAAAATTGAATCAATACGTAAAAACAATGTTTTGACTGTATCTAAAAATAATAAAAAAAATCTATTAAAACTTCATTTTGGTATTTATTTTAATCCGTTTTTAGTTTATTTTTATGTAATTATTAAGTAAAGCATTAGAAATGCAAGTTTTAAAAATTTGCCATCTTTCTTGAAAAATTATTACATACGTTACTTAGCTTGGCTTTAGCCCTCTTTGCGGGGCACTATACTATGGAATGAATTTATCGAGGTAAATCTAATATACATGGCTTTCACAAGCTGCTACCAGAATTCCAGCTTTCTATACGATCAAATAGTGGTTAAATTAAATTAGCGTGTCATATTTTACAGGAAATAAATTGAAAATTACATAGACTGCGGTGATTTTAATTTTTGAGAGCTGTTTGCTTATTTGAATATTTTTGGGAGCCCTTTTTCCAAAAAGCGCCATATTTTTGCTGTACCAAATCATTTTTTTTATAGCGCTCTATATCTTAAAAATGTAATTTTTTCAGTATATGCCTGATGTTTAAATAAATTGATTTTTCTGAAATTAAATTCGATTTGGCCACATAATAGATTCCTTTGTAAAGCAACAGAGTTGTAACCTGCTTATGCGCAGTTTGGTTGTATTGTTCGTGGTGTTACAGTGTTCGCGGCTGTTGTCCGCTGACATTGTGTGAACAATTCAACTAACTTTTGTTATATCTGTGGTAGTAATGTTGTAGTTAAGCAAAGGCAAACTATAACTTGTTTTGTGAAAAATGTAATATTTTGGTGTAAAAATTGGCGACCAAGATAAGTGCTGGGCTACACCTGGCGTCACATCAAGCTTTTACCGGGATCGCGAAAAAGAGTTATGTGCATATTTTACTCTGGAAGGACCGCTAATTGCTGACTTAGTTTCAAAATTAGGAAATGTGCAGTATATAAAAGAAGAATGGCGCCTGTTTATTGACTCAAAAGCGTTGTTTAAAAGGCGTTTTATTGCACAATGATAACGAACTACTTCTTCTGAAGAAAATAAACTACCAAAAAATCAGTGGATTCTTTGGTGTGACCTTCAAGTGCTGTGCATGCTCTTAGAGCTAGCCATTGGACTCAAATAGAATGGCTCTCTAGAACATGGCTTACACCTGGTAGCAAAAATGTATTAAAAGATAGCTTAGTTGACCCCAAAAAGTTTTACTGTCTCCACTTCATATCAAACTTGGCTTGATGAAGCAGTTTGTTAAAACCCTAGACAAAAGCGTTTCAAATATTTGTGCGAGATATTTCCGGCCATATCTGATGCCAGCATAAAAAAAAGTTGGGCCGCAGATAAGCAAGACAAGAATTTTTATTTAAATAAGTATGTATGTAATGTATTGTTCAAAATATGTTACAACACTTTCATCGTCTAGGTTTTAATATGAGTTTGAAATTGCATTGCCTGCTTTCACACTTGAACTATTTTCGTGAAAATTTTGGAACAGTTAGCGAAGAACAGGGAAAGACGTTTCACCAGGAAATGGAACGACGATACCAAGGCAGATGGAGCATAATGATGATGGCGGATACACAGCCGAATGTCCGGACATCACAGCTTTCACTCAAAGTCTGAATAAAGTTTTTTTTTCAAAAAATACATTATTTTAAAAATATCGTTTTTTTTTTCTTCAATATTTTGCAAAAAACCTTACGTGATACAAATAAATAGATAGAATTTTTGAAATCAGCCTACCAAAATTACATAAAATCAATTTTCAAAACAAAAACGTAAAAAATTTAATTTTGTAGACCTGTGTTATTAATTTTGTATATAAGCTGTGTCATTTAAGTTGCCATACGTCATTCAAAAGAAGGTAATCAAACATTCAAAAAGTAGCATCTGGAGAAAATATTTCCAAGCACTAAATAAAACTTAAATAAGCAAAACATTCCTTTCACTTTTACTTTTTTTGTTGCGCAAGTTTCTAGTTATTTTTTTATCATGAAAATTTTGCGGGTCTACTTTTCACTCACCGTTTCGTTTTCACTAACGAAATTCTCTTCTACGAACCGTCCCACCTGTTCTCGAGTCGGCTTGCCTCCCGTATCCGCCATGAAGGCGCGAAAATTGGCCAGCGTGACGTCGACGGAGTTCACTTGACTCATGTCGACGAACGTCTTGGAGTCATTAAACACCCCCGCCAATTGGACCGTGTCTAAAAGGTCGCCCTGGCAGTAGACGGGACTCGGGCACGACTGGACAACGTCTTCGTCCCTGCGACGGACTACCGGGTGCCGCAGGTGTGGCTTGGCGCCGACAAAAACGACGGACGCCAACAGCGCGGTTAGAATTCGCATGATTGCTGAGCTGAGGGTAGCCTCGAGCCTCGAATTTATACGAACCTGCGAGAAAAGTCACGAGATTTTCTCCGGTTTTTCGTTTTTTATGATTATACAGGACGTCATATACAACCGCGCCATTTCCTTGATAGACGTCGTTTGTTTTGAATTTCAAATCGCCCGAAGATGGTCTTTCCGACCAGTAAGAAATTTTGGAACCGGCATGCCGATATGTTTCTTTTTTGAAATTAATTGAAACCGTAAATAAAAAATGCTACCTGGTCATAATTGAAAAAACCGGGAAATATTCATTTAATTCATAATATTGTATTACTGGCCGATTAATAAGAAGAATTAAAAGATAAAAGCAATGAATAGGTAGAAAATAGTAATCTACAATTAAAAATAAGGAAGAAAAATAAAAAAAGATCACAGCATCGATTAGGCGAAAATAATTTTAATCCGTACTTATGAAACCAACAAAAATCCTTGAATCTTGGATAGGATTTAGCTGTCGGCTTAAATTACCTAAGTATATACGTAGTTACAATAATTGCGCAGTTAGGTGGCAGTCATATCCAAAATTATGGAAATAGTGGGTCTGATTGGTTAGGCTAGTCGATGAACTCAAAATTTATTAATTAATTTAAAATATTAATTATTAAAATTTTGAGTTTTTTTATTTGTTTTATTTTATTGGTGTAAAAATTGCGATTCCTTCTTGTACTCTAATAACACTTATATTGTGTGGGCGTGATAAGTATTGTATTTTTAAAACAAATTATACTAATTTAACGAAAATACGCCGCATTTTTCATAGGTGTCGGGTGGAACGCAAACAAGCACTATTTTAAAAAGTATACACAGTGAGTCCCATATAAGAACTGTACTCCCTTGTAAAATCTTTGCTTTTGGTTAGATTTTGATATTTTTGTTGTTGTTGGATAGATCTCTGAAAAAACCTGAGAGAGAGAGAGAGAGAGAGAGAGAGAGAGAAGATAGAACTGCTATTAGGGATTAAAATCAATTTTTATAACATTTTAATACCGGGCGTTTGAAATATCGCTTAATTTTGATGTCAACTATCGAGAAGGTTTATTAGGGACCTAACTATACCAATTTCCATTAAGCATTACTCCTGTAGAATGTTTGTGTATGGCTCAATTTTGATTATTCTTTTTTGCTGGATATATCTTACTAAAGACAAATGAAACGGTTTTTCATATAGCACCGACTAACGTCGTGGAAGCGGAAAATCGAGATAGATTTTTTCAAATTGAAATTGAAACAGATTCGTATTCAGGACTACCTGAAAGTAACTAGACCAATGACCAATGTTTTTAATGTTAAAAAAAAAATGTGACCTTGTCAATAACGATTATTTTGTATGGGATTTTAAGATTCTACAAATTTTAATTATACAAATTTCAAAAATAATGATAAAAAGACTTTTTAAGGGACATTCATTTTTGAAGATCATCTTAAAAGAACAGCATTAATAAATCTTAGTATTCCAAAGGTATAATGTAAAAAAAAATCAAATATAGATTAGCGAGTGAATTTGACAGTCGATTATTCGTTTCTCCATGGTAAACTTGGTTTTACAAAGGAAACAGTATGCTCACGTCAATCAATTTTGATATTTCTGTTATTTTCTTTATTAGATGAAAATTGAAAAACCTTTTTAATTAAAAAAATACAGTAAAATTTGTTTAATCATATTTAATTTTAAGAAAATCGAAAATGTTTTTTTCTGCCCATAACAATTTTTTCATCAATCATAAATTTTCAATAACAATAATTGAAATACGATTATAAAAAAATTAAAAAGTTTGCTAAACTGAAAGTACGTAATTCCATCGTTCGTGGGAGCAATAAAAATCGCGCCCATTTTACGGGAATTTTTCAATTGCCCATTGTAATTGTTGCATGCGGTTAAGAATAATTTTATGTCAGACAAACGTCCATGAAAAATTGTCGCTCGAAAATTACCAAACTATGAGAAACCCCCACAATCAATTTCAATATTTTACGCTCACCAAATATCCGCGAAAGATCCCAATGACTGTGGTCTCCGTATTTTCCGTACCCAATCCCGTATACTGGGCGGTCACTTTTAAAAGTGCTCAAGTGCACCAATTGATCTATCGGGTAAAATCGGAGAGAATATTATTTTTTTTGTTGCGAACGCCGAAAATTTCATTTCAAAAGAAATTTTGATTTTTTTCGGAATTCATTCCTCTTCTGATTGTGCTTGTCCGTTAGGGATGTTGGCGATAAGCCAGACGATTTGCGCCTTACTGGCTGCCGCACTTTTCTTAGTGTCGGATAACCCGACGGCGCGACCACCCTGTATTGATTTTATGGCAGATGGCTCGTACGTCAAAGGCAATTGTTTGCTCTGATAATCGCGCAAAAAAATGTATTCCTTTGCATGCTCTGCCCAAAATTTTGTACTGGTAAGTTAGTTTTAAATTGGAAATGGTAAGTACATAGCAAACATTTTGTTTTTCGTATTATCCAAATTTACCATCGGCGATAATTAGAAAATTAAGCGGGGCGTGGAGGAGGGGGTTAGGTAGGCTTATTTTATACATACACACGGTATAACGAAATATAAAATTATCGCCGTTATTTTCCATTGCCGAATTCGGCGGTCAGATAATAAATTGTTATCTCGATAATAACAAATATGGACAATAACAAAACTAAAAAAACAATCGACTACGTTTGCACTCAACGTTTTATCTTATCTATTATTTTCTCTCTAATAATTATTACATTGCGGTAGAAATTATCAAAAATTCTTCTTTTCAAAACGCCGCCAACGTTTCGACTTGAATTCAAGCCACTCCCGGCACAACCAAGAAAAAAACACGAAAATATTTACGACTTTTTAATTTCACCCCATAGCGTCTACCGTGCTTGAGTACAAGAGAATATTTTAACTTTAAACGCAAGCCAACTTTTTAGTTTTAGAGAATATTTTTAATGGAAACGAAAGTGTACCCTTGGGAACACGTTTTCATCAAGAAATGGAAGTATGTAAATTTCGATTAAAGTAAAAAAATATTTAAAACTTTTTGGTTTCCCTTTATAGCAACCCGCATACCGGCTTGCAACCGAACATTTTCTTTGGAAAGATCTATTTAATTTGAATCATTTGTTTCCTAAACTGGTTTATAAAACACCGCCGCCACTGGTTGTTCGGCTCTTTCCGTTATTTTGACTGCCAACTTAAAACCGTTTTTTTTTAACAAAACTGTTTCTTTAACTGCAAAGAATGAGTATTTCTAAAACTTCTTTTTGTTTCAAAAAAACCGCAAATTGGTATCAACTTTGTATTTTTGCATCCCCGAACATTATATAAACTCCGGCCTTAATGCGAAACATTTAGAATTCCCTCCAAGCTCTTAATCTACCCAAGGCAAAAAATACTAAAAATAATATTTTTATTACATTCTGTATACGAACACAATGTATATTTCCGTCTTACCCTATTTGTTGCCGACAGAAAATAACTGGTAAATCTCCCGCCTTTAAACATACGCGACGTACATGGTTCGCGATTAAAATCGAGCGTGCCTCGGCGGTTGTGACGCAAGCTGGCGCACGGCTCTTCTTTATCGACGCAGGCCGCCAGACGGGATTAACAATTGTTTTTAATCGCGCCCCGGCGGGTTAAATGTCGCGCGCGCTGTACAACTAAGCGGGCCATGAATGTCGTTTTTCGCGCTCGCAGTAGGCCGGCCAAAATGCGTGGGCTGTCAATTTCGCGATCAAATGCGTGGGCTGTCAATTTCGCGATCAAATAAATGCGTGCGGTTTATTTAATACGTACCCGAAGAGGTTACGGCGTGATCGTGATGTGACTCGCGTTTACGCGCACGCGGCTACGGTTTAAAAGCAGACGGATCGGCGTTATCTGGTAGATAATGCGAGCGTATTTTTCCGAACGCACTGCGCCGAGACAACGCGCTGTTACGATAAGGTTCAGGTAAGCGTCGCGGTTTAGTTCAAGGTATATGGGGTGACGGCTAGACTCGCATTTTCAAGTGCTTACCTCTTTTCGTTTTCCAAACACAGCCAGATGTCGAAAGTTATCTGGCGTCGCCGACGACGCAAGGTGAAGTAGTACCGCAAACTGACCCAGATGTCGCCCGAGGCAAAATAAGTCTGAAGGGCGCTTTCACGATAAAAGCGCGTGAATTTTTATTTTTTAAAATTATATGGGTTAGAGACATCGCAAAAACTTAGCGGGTTCTTAAAGGGCAAGGTTCAATTTTTGGTGGCTGAAAAAAAAAACAATTTTTGGCAAATCCCGGTAATATTTTAAGTTTTAACTTGGGTGGCTTTTGGGAGTTGAAAGGTGTATTCCAATATGGTCATTCTTTAACCCTGTTACAGTTATTCCACAATAGTATAATTTGCATTTTTTGCTGCTCGCAGACCTCATTTGACAAGCAAAATTAATTTTCTACTCCCGTCTGTAAAATAGCTAATTACCCACCGATCTAGCGTGCGGGAAGCGTCACTTTACCACGCCAGTTTCGTTTCCCATGAATTCCGAGCCACTTCGGACATTTCCGGGATTTTACCGCACGGATTTGTAAGCAATCGGATGTTTTCGGAGATTTTACCGCTTCAATTTTGACGTCAATTCTGACAGTTATGTCAGTGAATGTATTCGTGTTGTTTTGCGAAAATGTACCCAAAAACTAACGGTCGTAGAAAAAGTAAAGTATGCAACACGTTTGATAAACTTCAGTCACTCGTTTATTAAACACTCGCTCCGTTGGTGCCAAATAAACTCGTGGCTCAAATGCCGTTTACAGTGCTTGTTGCATAATAATTTGAGTTGTTTTGCCTATCTTTTTCCAGCTTTGTTTTTCTTTTTTTTTGTTCTACCAAGGTTTTTAAAAAGAATGCCTTCAAGGCCCGAATTTGGTATAATTGAATTTGGGAGCAGTCGGATGTTTTTATTAGTATATTATGCAACAAGTGCGGTAAACGGCATTTGACTCACGAGTTTATTTGACACGAGCGGAGCGAGTGTTTAATAAACTAGTGGGTTAAAAAGTTTACCGAACGTGTTGCATCGTATACTTTTTCTACGACCGTTAGTTTTTGGGTACATTTTCCCAAAACAACACGAATATATTCACCGACATTTACAAACGTCAAAATTCAAAGATCGGTGGGCAATTAGGTATTTTACAGACGGGAGTAGAAAAAAAATATGGCTTGAATGTATTCGTGTTGTTTTACAAAAATGCTTCAAAAACTAATAGTCGTGTGTAGTGTGCCGCTTGTGTTGCATACTCCGTTCGTGCCAAATAAATTCGTTACTCAAATGCAGTTTACCATACTTATTACATTATATACTATTACCACACTTGTTGTATAATATGCTACTTCTGTAAAATACCTAATTATACACCGATCTTGCGTGCAGAAAGTGTCTTTTTACCACGTCAGTTTCGTTTCCCACGGATCGGAGTCACTTCGGACATTTCTGGAATATTAATATGATTAATTTATTAATCACTAGTTCTGCTGCGCTCCGCTCATGCCAAATAAGCTTGTGACTCAAATGGCGGTTACCACACTTGTTGTATACTATACTTTTCTACTACCGTGAGTTTTTGGGTACATTTTCGCAAAACAACAAGAATACATTCCCTGACGGGACCGTCAGAATTGACAATCGTCCAAATTCATCTCCGAAAACATCCGATTGTTCCTAAAACCGTCCGGGAGTTTCCCGGAAATGTTCGAAAGGGTCGGATCCGTGGGACACGAAACTCACATGGTAAAGTGACGCTTTCCGTACGCTAGAGCAGTGTATAATTAGGTATTTTAGAGAAGGGTGTAGAAAAAGTTCATTATTTCATTGGTTTCAAAAATTATGAGAAAATGGTAAATACAAAAGTTGTAAAGATTCTTAGGATGCAGAATATTAAATTATTTGGAAGTATACAATGTGACTCAAAAAAGTGCGACGAATAAAACTTTTTTTAATGGAACATCCTATTTTAAATTTTGAATTCGTTTTTAAATCCTTTAGCATTTTTACTAATAATAGATAGCTAAACCTAGTTTTTCCAATAGTTTAATTTTTCCAATAAAATACTAGTTTTAACAATTTTCAAAAAAATATGATAGCGCCATATTTCACATTAATGTTATTCGAAGATGACGTGAAAGACATATGCAACGGAATTGAAATTAGATGCTACAAGGTGTTCAACGTAAATGAATATATTTGGATCATAAGTATAGTCTTTTACACACTCTTTGTTTTAAGATTAAAGCATAGTCTAACTAACTGTTGACGAAATGATATATTTTGGACTTCCATGGTCAATTATTTATTCCACAACGTTTCAATTGATCAAGTATTTCTATTTGCCTTCAGGTGAATACTTAAACTTTATGTTTACCAGATAATAGTAACAATTTCCAAACATTTTGAATATCTAAAGAAGGTTTGCCAAGACACTTGGGGATTTTGGTGAATGCTTCTTTAAATTTTCTCCTCGTCCAATGTCTTTTCTTAAAAGTCTTTTTGTCTCGCCTACATAACAACTACCGAACGCACAAGGTATCTCACATATGGAGTTCTTCGTGTCGCTCTAACCGAAAGGTTTGGTTTTCGTGTGATGACTTCTTCTGAAGATGGTTTATGTTGCATTTTTTACCTACCTTTTTTATATTTTCCTGTTGTCTGAAATTTTGTTTTGTATTTCAATTTTTTCATTTGAATGTCGTCCATATTTTATTTGGATTGCAGCGTTTGTTCTGAACTACATAAGATTAGAGCTCTGTTCACCTGTGGTGGTTAGACTAGAAACTGAGGTATTGTCCAGCGTGTATGTGGGTTTCCGCTATAGTGATGTCAGAATGCGGTTATTGCCTTTGTGAACTAAATTTAATCGGAGGTCGTAGATTGTTGATGTGTAACAGAAAATCTTGCAGATTATTAACGTATCATCAACGTACCTTAGGCATAACTTGGCATTTCTCATGACCAGGTCTTCAACTCATTCCATGTAAATGTTGGCAACTATTGCAGAGAGTCAGTGTCCTTCGTTTTGGGTGAAGAATTGATCTTTTTCCTAGAATTACGAATTATTAATGCAGCATTCTAGCTTATTTTTGATGATTTCAAGAGCTTCCTCTACTGGCATATTGGTTCCACGTCAAAACTCAGAAATTCATCATGAGTTTGAACATTCGTATCCCTATATTAAAGATAATATAAAAATGATATAAAGGTAGAACATTTTTTATGGTTAAAGCATTGAGCACACGATACATTTAAACGAAACAAGAAAAATGCGGATGCATCAAATTTTAATTTTTCTCTTACATTTCTTACTATTGCGGTTTTTTAAAGTAAACGTCCATTTTCAAAATTTAAGTCAAATATCCTATTGACAGAAAGACTTAAAGAACAACAAATGAGCAAAAATGAACAAAAATTATTTTTAGCTAAATATCTAAAGTAGCCTTATTTGCAGGCTTATAATAGTGATATTAAAACCATATATAAAGTATTTCAAAAAACGAAAAGACTAAACAATCCATACGGGGTGTAAAAAACGGATTTTTTACAGTTTGTTAAATATATTTGTCCTATTTGGTTGAAATTTATACACCACTGACTTTTTTCCAATTTTTGATATTTATTTTGAATAAGTCATTAAACCTACACTTTTTTTTACTTCATAGTCGCGAAAGTTAACAAAACTCGTTGGTACACAAATAAACTAAAAAATCAATGCTAGTGAGAATGATCAACGTCAATTTCATTGCATTGCATTGCATTGCATGGAACACTGAAAATCCGCTTCAAAATAAAAGATAAAATATACCTTCGCCCTTAATTTCGAAAATGAAGCGACACGTTCCAAAAAATTACTATATGCCATATTTACCCCTTAACCAAGTTAAGCGTCGCCTAGAGAAGGTCCGCGATTGTGCGAGACTTTTCCGCGAAAGAAATCTCAACAAAACGTGGAAGTGGCAATAAGCAATTTCGCGGGGGCGTCATAACCATGGGGGGTGCGGGTAACAATGGACCCGACTCGGGCTGTAAGCCGTAATAAAAAGTGTATAGGAAGCTGTCCCGCAGACAGCCTTATTTGGGCGATATGCATTCGGTCGTAGGGTAGGATTGGGCACAGTGGTGTGCGCAAGATTTATTTTGTTACGCTATTCTTCGACATTTCGTTTTCGACGAAAGTTTTTTTTTAAATAGCATCGCAAACGTGTATTAAAATAGATGCCATTTTTTTAATTTTTTTTTAACGCTATTCGTTATGGTAGGTGTCAATTTGAGAGTTACTCTCGAGAGGTCTTTTTCGAATTTTAACTCTCAGATAGCTCCACGAGACAACTTGCTGAGTGTAAACAGCAACAGTGCTCTCAAAGTCGTGTCCACGGCAAGTGTGCGTTGCCAATTCGTTAGAGAAAGTTTGTTAGAATATGGATGTGGAAAAACCGGCTGCCGATATAATTTGCTACAACATCTTACTTAAAAGGCAGGAAAAACGCAAAGCGAAAAGAAAATATTAGATCAAACCTTGGATTCGTCGTAGATTTGAGTTAGGTGAATGCTCTACCCTCACAAGAGAGCTGCACATCGAAGATGGGCAACTTCAGTATATAATGGAACTAGTTGGATAATCGATTTAAGAAAAAAACGTGTAATGGTGACATTACGATTTTTAGCATCAGTTATTATTCAAATCAGAATATAATTTTAAATAATGTATTATATTTTACAGGCGATTCTTATAGCAGTCTACAATACTTATTTCGAATACCTGTTTATACTATGGGCAGAATAGTACAAAAAGTGAGTCCTGCAATTTACACAGTCTTAAAGGATCTTTACATTAAGTCATAATTATTTACTGAGTAAGGGACTGGAGCATGGAACTCTACATTTACCTTTTGTAGTACCTTTACCTAACAGAAACATTGCCGTGCCATATTGTGCATCATTTCAAGGTGAACCTGCAGCTAACTGCATATTTAACTATATACTATCTAGAGCTCGTCGTATAGTGCAAAATGCGTTTGGTATTATTGCAAACAAATTTCAAGTTCTCCGTAAACCAGTCGTCCTTGAACCTGGGTCGTGAATATTGTTTTGGCAATTTGTGTACTTCACAATTATTTGTTAGCAGGTAATAAATCAAAAGCGAATTATGAGCATCAAAGGATAGTTGATTTGGAACGGGAAGAAACTCACGACTCACATATCCCAAAAACAAGTTAGAGATGAAATTAAAGAATATGTTATGACTCCTGCTGATCAAATTCCCTGGCAATATAGACAGATATACAATGATGATTATTAGTAATAACAAAACATCGAAAAATGTTGTTTAGGACCTTAAAACACATATCCCAATAATAATTCTGTTTAATTTCATTTAAAATAAATAGGTGTTAGCAAAACCGATAAAAACTTAGCATTTATTCTAAATTTTTTTGACCCATCCGGTGTGTTAATCGTAGGTATTTATACTGGTATATAAATAGGAATATTAAAAATTACGACTTTATGATTAATAGACTAATTTAATCACCACAACTTATTCTGTTGAATTGAATTGAATGAGATTGATTTGGTGTCAAAACCGGTAACAAGAAACAAAGGGCTTTTTTTGACATCTAGATTAATTATCGATTATACTTTTATGCTTTTTCCTTGCGGAAAGTACTTAAATGTACGCGGAAAGTTGTTGCAACATTCCGTTTATTAACTTACCTGATTTCTTAAATTTGTACAAGAGTTTTTCTCGCAAATGGACAGTCAGCTATAAACTTTCATTTGAAACAGAAAATAAAAATGTGAAAAATTTTGTAAAGCATTCGAAAAATGGTGCGATTTTTTTTTCCAATTTTCGATTTTTTTTTTTGCCAAAAAATAAAAAATAAATAACGTCGACAAGAGACCGTTCTTAGTACGCCAATGGGGCGGCCGCCGCCGCCGCCGTCGCAATCTGAATGACGATTCCCGCGGGCATATTCGCCCGTCTTATTATATGCGCGAGGGTGGGTGTGTGTGTTTTCTTTTATTCGACATTGTGGCGCGGAATAAAACCCCGATTTCAACGGACGATATTCCGCCCGCCGTATTGTTCGCCGGTTATGGTTTCCTTTATGCCCCGCCGTAGGATAGCCCGCGCGTTTTATTTTTTTTCGGATTACCCCGGGCGTGTGACGCATATTTCTCCGCCCCGGCCTTTTTTGGAAATGTGCAATACACTTTTCCCTGTTAATTCCTGATGCGACGATATTTATTTCGTTTAATACCTCATTTCCCAACGTGTTTTGTTTTGTTTTCATAGGGCTACGATGGGATGTTTGTTATTTAATATTTTTGTCAGTCCTCGTTATTTTTATTAACTTCTTATAAATAAGATTTAGTTTTCGTAGGAAATTGTGAAAATATAATTACAGCGCTGCTGGTGTAAATATATATATTTTTTTATTTTCAGAACTTTTTCTTATGTAGAACAGCCAAAAATTAATAATTGTTTAAATGATAGTGATCGGTTCTAGAACAATAAATTAAACACTTTGCTTTTATTTAAAATTCATTTCCCCTTAAATCGTACATAGACAAGCTAACTGTAAGAAACTTCCAACAGATTAAATATTAAATATTAAAAATTGATTTAGATTTAGATCAGACAGTAACAATTTTAGTACAATTTAATCCAACGTTATCAAGGAACTTTAACGGGCTTAATTATATTTTCTCTTTTTTGTTATTTTTTTTAAGTTAAATATTTTTAAACATTCAGTAGGATATACAGTGCATTTAATTCTAACTCGTATTCTTTGGTTCCATGGCGGGCTGAATTATATATTTTTTATTTTGGCCACATTCTTGTATTTTTGCTGTTGAAGTTTTTGTTACAACTGAAAGCATTCAATTTATAAATACTTATTTATTTTTCATTTCTTTATTAGCTTTAACTTATTTTCTTTGTATAATACGAATAATATGACATTTTCAAAGGCAACTATCACCCCGTAAACTTTGCAGTAACACCACAAATTATATATACGTCAAAGAGTGATACGATACACGGGAGTCACATTTGCGAGTCATTTTACGCGTTACGTTTCAAATTAACGTTAAAGTTTTGCGCGCGGCGACTGACGTCCCTCCGATCGGAACCACGTAAGCGGAAAATGGACGGCAATTAAAATCCGATAAAAAAAAATCCCCCGGATTTTTCGTCGTCGTTTCCGGAATGTCGTTTAATGCAGTTTAACTGAATATTTGCATAACTTTGAACTGATAAAGAACTTTTTTTATGAGCAAAACAAAAACCATAAAAAAATTGCAACTGAGAACTTTTTGGTTGAGAAAAATCTTCATTTTCAAAAGAGAAACTATACAAAATTTTTTAATAAGTAAAATCTTGTTGAGTAATTTTTGTAATTTCAATTAACTTCTTTTTTTATGAGTAAAACTTTATGTCTAATCACGAACCTTACGAATTAGACGAAATAGGCCGCGTTGCCGTATTGTGCGCGTTCTAAACAGTGAAACTTAATGTTCTCCAGCTCCGAAACTATCGATGGATTTCGGAAACACGGAGTTGTGCTGTAATGCGGCCCCTCCTCCCCCACCTAATTGAATATTAAATCGAGACGCTAGATCCCGTCAAGAATTTCAACGGCAAACTTCACGCGAAAATAGTTCTGCCGACAAGCGCACTAATAAAGTTTGCGGCTGTCAGGAGCCAGCCAGACAGACTATCTATTCGGCAATTTCAAGAGTTTAATTAAGTTTAATTCGGGGCGGTAGTGGTGTGGGGTGAACAAGTCGTCCCACAGCCGCGTCAAAACACTCTCCTTCGCTACTTTAGCTAGTCGTTGTGGTTTTGTTGGAGAAGAAAAAGAAGAAAAATCTGTTAGTACAGTATAGCCTCTTTAATCCGATTACCCCGCCACGGTCCCTAACTAAGGTTGTGGAATTGACGGGTCAAATTTTTTTGTGTCAACTGACCGAAATAATTTTAAAAATACAATGAAATTTATATTTATATAGTTATATTGTGCGTTACGTAACAATCGCGTTGTTCTGAGAACTAAAAAGACTTAAGAACGGTTACAGGAATATTGGCCATCACAACGCATAATTTATTATAGAATGCATATTATTGTTATTAAATAATGATAGATAACACTCTACAATTGTTATTTAAAATATTTTGGTGGAATTTAAATAGTCTTCTAAAAATGGTCAATTGCGCGTCAATTATCAATTATTAATTTTTCAAACTGTTGGGGATATTTTGATAATCAAATTATCGATTATTTTCTTTTCGAATGATCTAAACACTACTGCAGTGAATCTTGTATCTGTTTTTTTTTCGTTCCCATGCGTAATTATCGTCATCCTTTTATTTTTTCGTTAACTTCATGGGTCTTTTTGTCTCTCCATAAAGGTCAATTTGTTAATTTAATTTCTTTTTTTTATAATTATATTTTTTCAATATGCGCGTTTATGTGGCCCGTTGGGGCTATTGAAATAAAACCATATTTTTTGTTTTTCAATTAGAATTTATTCTTCATTTATTGATTGATCACATTTTAACAGTCAACTTTGGTATATTTCGTTTAATATTAAATCTTTACATAGTTATAAATATACAGATCATCCCTATATCGACAAAATAAAGAACAAAAAACGTTTCATTCGGTTTATTTATTTACAGACGCCCTTTTTGCACATCGATTTATTTACACACCGTGCGGTACGAACGAACGACTAGGAATAACTCGAATATCAGTAGCGCGCGTTAAATAAATTTAAAGGAATCAACGAACTTAGACGGTAATATCGATAATTAATAAACTTTGGATTCAAACGAAAAACAGTTATTGTCTCTACAGCCATTAAAATAAATCACAAATATAAAATAGAACTATAAAATAATTGTAAAATAGGGCGATGGTTTTCCAGAGTAAAAAGAACAACGAAAAAATGCGATTCTTGGCTAATTTCACCGGCTCTTTTATTTGATTTTATTTTAACGTCGAATCACACCGTTGACTTTAAATAAGTCCAAGCAAAACTATTTGAAAAAGTTTTTTCGATGTAACTTTTTTCCGCCTTTGAATTTTGAAATTAATAAAATGTCAGTTGTAACAAAGAGTGCTTAACCAGTTTCCACGCTTGGGACATTTTTGGTCAATTTTTGGAACCCGAAAAGTTTAAAAATTTGGGCATTTGCGACACTTTTTCTCAACGTCGTGTCCAACACGAACCACGCCGTATGTACGCCGGTCACGGGATGCGGGAGGGGGTACTAAGACTCGTCGGCTTTGACGTCGTCCGAGATGGGATCCTCGCCTTTTTGGAGGCAATCCCTGACCGCTTTGAGGACGATTTCCAGCCGGCGATCGAGGGCCTCGAGGTGGGGTTCCCAGAGCACGGGCGCCACCGGATCCGAGGCCATGCTCGCCCGCAGCGCTTGGCTGAGCCTCGTTGGCCCGTTCCGGAACCTGGAACACAAATTATAGGGTGTCCCAAATCAGTTGCCTGCCTATAGCGGCATTTTTTTGAATGAATGAACACAAAGTGAAAATTTTTCCGAAAATTAACAAAGTAACTAGCTTTTCATTTCTCCCGCCTACTGAATCTCACGTAAATATTTACTGGAATGATAATAGGTTATCATCTCAATTTTTGTTTGATAAAAGGCTTATAACACTGCACTGTTATTAAAAATAATCGTTGTAATATATTCCAGCAATATTAGGAGAATAACAAATTTCACATTTGACAAAATATGGTGATGGAGATACAGGGTGTATCGTTTTAAGAATTCTCAAATGTTTTTCTGCGAATTTGCGATCTTTTTTTAAACGTGAGAGTTCATATTGTTTTTTTAGCTCTTACAGAATCCGGGGTAGAGCGGGTCATCGCCGGGGGAGAGAAAAAAAAGTCGAATTTCGCCCTTTCCCCTCACGAAAACCCACGCCTAATATTAACGTTTCTACCCCGCTTTTGTGCTTGCAAGAATTTTCCCTAATTGGATATTTTCCTTTACAGTGGCGCGGCTCGGGAGACAATTAAAACGGAATCGGAAAACTTGATTGTCTGCCTATTTCGTCGGGTGGAATGGGAGCCGCGAACCCGACGGCGGAGATTTTCGAGATGACGATTAGAGAATGAGTCCCGAAGGTAAGGCAAAAAAACCGTTAAAAAAATTTGAATATCGTTTTTGATAATTTTGCATTTTTTTTGTGTGATTTATGGCGCACTTGTTAAAATATTTTATTTGACACGAGCGGAGCGAGTGTTTAATAAACGAGTGAGTTAAAAACGTGTTGCATACTATACTTTTTCTACGACCGTTAATTTTTGGGTACATTTCCGCAAAACAACACGAATACATGACTGTCAGAATTGACAAACATCAAAATTCAAAGCGTCGGAAATATTTCCGAAAACATCCGATTGCTCCCAAACCCGTGCAATAAAATCCCGGAAATGTCCGAAGTGGTTCGGATCCCTGGGAAACGAAACTGACGTCGTAAAGTGACGCTTCCCGCACGCTAGATCGTTGCGTAATTAGGTATTTTACAGACCGGGATAGAAAAAAAACATTTGATGGTCTCTTTCCTTTAATAATAGTTTTTCTCTTTTCTAGCTTTGAAAATTTGGTTACAGTTCTTTCATTAGTCAACCGTGTAGACTGCAAAATAGATTGTATCTAACGGAACAAAAATCCCTGAAAATTTACAGGCTTCCCCCCACAACTAGGCTTTTGCAGTTTGTAACGCTAATAGAATATAATTCCTATAACGCAAGGAGCGAGTTAATCCCGTTAATTATGCGTTTACTAATTTCGCGCTTGTATAAATATGGCGGCGGTTGTCGTTTTTATGGCCCCTTAAAACTTTGCTTATAGCGACTGTTGGCACATCCGTTTTATGCACAACGCAAATTCTTATCAGCACTAGACCCACGGTCGTAACTAAGATGGCACCCGGACCCACTGCGGCACAATTATTTCCGAAATTTATTTGCAACGGAAATGAGAGAAGAGAAAACAATACTGAAAAATATCTTTGAAAGGTTTTTTGGAGGTAATAATGAAATAAGACACGAAGCAAAACAATTGATAAAGTAAAGTAAGTAAGGGTGACGAGAAATGACACTTTTTAATTTTAATAATAAAAAATAATTGGGGGAGGTCCATTTAACACAATTGAATTAGAACAAAAAATATTCAGATTTTTACAGTTACTTGATGATTTATGACCTCTATTTCGGCCACACCGTCCCTTTATCAAATACAAAATATTCCGACACCTATATATACAATCAGGTAGTAATAGATTCTTAATTACCGGTGCAGGGTTATAAATTTAAATTTAACGACGCAGACGCATTTAAATCTAATTGGCCATTAAGTAATAGATTCGAATATCTCACTTTGTTAATCTCCATAGCTTCCAACAAATTCTGTTTTTTGCTTTTTGATTGATTACGTAAAATATCAAAATTACCGTCAAACTTGTGTATTTCTGAATTTAAATGGATGGCGTACTTAGAATCCGAATTTCTATTTTTATACACATGTTCACTTTTAAAAGGATTATTTTATTGTTTTGTAAATTTTGGGTTAGAGTTCAGAGTTATTTCTAACTGCTTCTTAGAATGGTGTGGCCGAAATAGCTGTCATAAATTATTAAATAACTGTCAAAATCTGAACATTTTTTTGTTCTAATTTAATTGTGGAATAAAAATAAGCCGCCATCTTAACATTACTTTGGCCTTATGGCTTTGCAGAACTTTCGGAACGACGAATAAAATGGGGTGACGGTCACCCGGTCCAGGAGGAGGGGGGGTGGGGGCATTTGATTCTCTTTCATCTATTCAAAACTTTCAAAGCTTGTTCGTTTTGCACGCGTTTCCGGGAGACATAAATCAGGCCGCCAAAACAAACGAGTGTTTCGCCGCCGCCGCCACCGGCTCCGAATACGCGGAATTTAATTCAGGGCGTATTACGCGACTCTATTCCGAGATACAAAAATTACGGCGAACGCGGGGCTAACCCGGACAAAATTTACGAAATGTTGCTCCTAACCAATTAATTGTTTTTTGATGATTATTCTATGATTAAAATCGGCGTCCTAAATAGTTTCGTTTTAAAAATACCGAGCGTAAAGTTGGTAGATTTGTTTGTTGTAGGAAAAAACCTCAAACGGATCCGAATTGATATTAAAAAAAAAGAACATCTTTTATAGTTTTGAAGAGTGGGGTACCTAGCATGTTTTCTTTTAAAAAATACGCTAATTATTAAGAAGTTAATTAGGAAATACAATTTGACAATTATTTTAAAAGTTTAAGCGCCCCGCATTTCGTTTGCGACTATTAAAGTGATACCTTCCATGCTATTAAAATAAGATATCTCAAAATTTCCCTTAAACATTTAACATTATCTACGTCTCTAATTAAACACTCTGCATCGCCAGAAATTTACTGGTCAACTAGTCGGCTAGTCGTTTGTTTTTGTGGTACAGGGCGTTAAAAAACTTTTGTTTCCAGTTTTCGATGAGGTACCACTGAAGACAATTCCTAAAAACAGAAGGTCTTCGACTTTTTTTATTTAATAGGGACTATAAACCTAAGTAGCAGAGGGAAAATTAAAATAAATAGCGATCGTTCTACACGCGAGTGTCCGTCGAAAAGGGCGTCCCGAAAATCGCCCCTGCCGCTCCCTCGCCCGTCCCGCGCCTTAAATGGGCGCTTCTTAACTTTTTTACGCGGGCACGTCGGTTTAGATTACCCAGGAGGTTATTTATACGAGCGGCGTCTGGAAAATGGCGTCCTTTTCCCCCCGGTCCCCCATTTTTCTTTCTTATTTTTATTTATAGCGGAGGATCATGATTTACTTTGTTTAATGCGCGGCAATTTTTTTGCCGCGGAAGTTCTTCATGCCCCCGCGATTTTTTATCCGGGACGTGCTCTCCGCAATGCAACGAAGTTTTCGAAACCCGACCAGTGCAAAAACACCGTTAAAATTTAATAACTTCATTCCTTTCGTTAAACGTTTTTGGGAACTTTGTATCTGCCTATACAGAAGGCCATTTTTTCGATGAAATTGTATCGGTAACAAAAAAGTTAATTATCCGAGTTGGACTTTCTAGCACTTTTATTTCCAATTTTACAAACAAAAGAACTACACCTACTTTGTCTACAGCGTGTACTACTTCTATTAACACCCTGTATTTTAGTCCACTATTAGATTCTTAAAAAAAGCTAATTTAATATCTAGTATTTTACGTCTAAATTGTTGCTCGTTTTTCTAGAAAAAAAAAACTGAAAATCGGGATGTTCTTCATTTTGAGTTAAATATTTCGAAATGGTTTGAGATTAGAGAAACACAAATTACACTTTTCTATCGTAGTTTTTATGGCATAAAAAAACCACTTCCGCAGCAACAGCACTTATATGTGTGATTTTTTGTCTGCGTTGTACTTAAAAATTATTTTACAGTTTTTTTGTACAAAATGTAGCACCGCATACAAAAAACATAAAAATTTCAATCTTAATAAAAACAAGTGAATTCTCAATAAACTCATTTTGAACCCTACACCATGTATATGTATCACATATGTGTTTGTAAAATTATAAATAAATGAGCCAGGAAGGAAATGGTAAAATCAAAGTATTTAGTTTTTTCTAATATAGGCTAACCCCGGTAATCATAGCCAGTATGTGCTATTTTTCTCTGCGATCCCAGTTCTGATTGTATTCCTTGCCGATTAGTACTAGTAGGTTGGCTGTTTCGATGCTGTTACTATGTGTTGCCTTATTAAGGCGTCTTGTATGTGCGCTATGATGTTTTTAACGCCCTCAGTACCACTTTTCTGAGTGTCGGAAAATATGTTAATTTTTTTCCGCACAAGTTAGTTCTTTTTCAGAATCATGCCAAGATGGCAATGGGATATGTGCTAAGACCGATTGATAATTTGGTCCTTTGGTGTTCCTCATAAATGTCAGTATAAATGGAGCAGTCAGTATACAAATGATGATCTGCCCCACTCCTCCCATAGATGTGGCATTAATGCCATGTCTGAATGCATTCCCAGAATGCAGTGGTGTATCCAGCGAATAGGTCCTTCCATAACGTATGCCTGTAGTTTCTGCAAGACCTCTTGAAAAAATCTGTACGTAACAATAAGTCTTAGTCCACCTGTAATATCTTTCTTTTGGCAGCTATATTATTCATCTAAATACATCCCATTTAACCGGTGGTTTAGAAGTTGCCCATAGACTATTAACAAAGTGGCAGAGTTCTCTTTGTACTTTTGAAGTCGTCGCATCCCCAGCCGGTGGCGATGTCGCCGTCAGTTTACGACATCTCGTCGTAGCTAAATATGTATTTCACTAATCGAATCGTACAACAGAAATTACTCGTCCGCGCGGACACCCTTCCCATGGTGGGATCGTCCAATTTGGTGGACGCGTTGTCATTTCGTTAATCATCGAATTCGACAACGTCGGGATGGCATTTAGCATGGATATTTTCCCCGTCGTCGGCGCCTGCCGCTAATTGGGTACAATTTTGCGAAGTGGGGGAATTATGGGGATAATTGACACGGAAATATTACAGCCCGAGTAAAACTAAACGCCGCTTCGCCGCTATGTCTGATTTTAAAATTAAAAAAAAAAAACTGCGCTGCTCATGATCAAACCTAAGCTCATTTCTTTGATTGGCTAGATAGAAATCTGTATTTTAAAAAATTTTTCTACTCCCGTCTGTAAAATACCTAATTAAACACCGATCTAGCGTGAGGGAAGCGTCATTTTACCACGTCAGTTTCATTTTCCACGAATCCGAGCCACTTCGGACATTTCCGATATTTTACCGCAAGGGTTTTGGAGCAATCGGATATTTTCGGAGATATTTCCCATGATTTGAATTTTGACGTTTGGCAATTCTGTCGGTCATGTCAGTGAATGTATTCGTGTTGTTTTGCGAAAATGTACCCAAAAACAAACGATCATAGAAAAAGTATAATATGCAACACGTTTGGTAAACTTTTTAAGTCACTCATTTATTAAACACTCGCTCTGCTCGTGTCAAATAAATTTGTGAGTCAAATGCTGTTTACCGCATTTGTTGCATGATATACTATTAATATTTAAATTTATCGCACGGCGGACGAGGAAGCAACAAAATATCCTACTTCGCAGGCCTGTCGCCGCTCGGCAATTTTGTTTTTACCGTAAATATTGTCTTTTAGAGATTTTTGTCTTATATTTGAAAACAGTACAGTCCCGATTATCCGAAATAATGCAAGGTGATTTCGAATAATCGAAATTTCGGTAAATCCGATTTTTTTTTTTGGAAAATAGGAGTTAAGAATACATATAGCACTAGATTGACTTAAAAGGTATTTATGAAATATTTCACTTGAATTTGTTTATATTAAAAAAAATAACAAATAAAGTGTTTAGTTTTTATTACTCAATATTTTTTGATTCGTAAAAGGTATGTTGACGGCAATATCTCTTCAGCGTTTGATAAAAAGAACATCTACGGTAGTTGCATTTTCTTGTTGTTCTACATAAGTTAACGCTTTTTCCAAGGCCTCTAGCCCATCTGAATGTGAAATTTTTGCTGGAATATTGTCAGTGTATTCGGCTTTGTCATCATCATCGTCATCACTGTTTATTTCAACAGAGTTTTTGCAAACACTTTTAATTATTTCTTGGTCAGTTATTTCATCTTCTACACCATCACTGGTTTAACCATTCATAAACTTCCCTTTCCATAACATTTTCCCATAAGGGTATTTTGGTGTAAATGTGCTTTAAACATTCATCATGGTCGGACTCTGCATCTGTGAAATGTCCCTCCTCTTGTTGAATTAATTTTGACCAATATTTTTCCAGCGTACTACCATTTATTTGCTAAGCTAAAGCTATCCAGACATTCGCTAAAGCTATCCAGACATTCAATGAGATCGGCACCCTCATTTACTTTTGTCAAAATATGCTCCAATAGCAAACACCTGTAATTACATTTTAAATTTTCCAGCACACGCTGACCCATGGACTGAATGAGAGAAATTACAGCAAGAGCAAAAAACATTGCTTTTATTTCCCCACCTTCAAGTTGCCGCGCACTCAGGTGAGTAGGACCATTGTGTAGTAACAAAACACATTTTCTGGGCTATCCGTGCTCTTAAAAAAATTCTACTTTTGTTGTTTTAAACAGATTCGTATTCATTCATTCATTCTTTTTATTTTTTTTATAGAAACCATGGAAAACATTGAGACGAATATTCTGGGAGGCTTGTGGTTTTGCTGGCTTACCGTTACATAAAAATGGAAATTTGTGTCTCCCAGACGCATTACAAGGTATTTGAGGGCGCAACATTTTGTTGTTTAAGCCTGTTTCACCGCAATTGGAGACTAGTCTGGTTGTAAATCATTTTCTTTCGTAAGCTTCATAAAATCCTTAGCAATTTTTTTTGCAACTTTTCTTCACAAACTTTCAGTTGACGTACACCATGTCTTTTTTTTATCGGTCTAGCCATTCATCAATTACAAAAAACTTTCAGGTGTTTGAATGAGCGGCAGTAGAATAAAGGTACACTATAGGCCACTCCCACTCCTCTCCCTTTTTTGTGGGCCTGTCCTCCTTCCCCACGACTCTCTAGCTCCTCCCCCTTTACCCATAATCCCTTGAAACTGGCCCCCATTGGATAAGCAACCAGAAATGTGGGGTTTAATCAATCCCCCTCCTCTAGTTTGCGATGGCGGCGAAGCCAATCAGAGCCCAGATATTTTCCCACCCGTAAGAAAAGCAATGGCGTCAGTGAGACTTGATCATATTGTTCGCGTGACCATCTGCACCCTCTAGCGGTTCGAATGTAAACTAGTGTCCCCTCTTGGAGTAAGATTTTCTTTAATAAGGTAACCCACCTAATGAATATTGACCAAAACATTTATTTTAAAAACATATAGTTCCTCGAATGTTACCCTCGCGGGTACAAACTGTACTTTTACTATTGCACACAAAGGACAGGGGAAATAAAACACGAGAGTGTGACGGTTTCATATTTCAATGGTAAAATTTAGCATTTTTAAAGTACCAGTGCTGGCACATTTGCGAAGTAACGGGTTTATTTTATTAGTACCTTGTAGAATTAATTGTACTGTCCATTTCCTTCACCTTTTGCTGTTTGGCGAGTGCTTCTTAACAATTAAAATTCTTGTTTATTAGGCTCATATCGATTTTGCGATTTGAACACACGTTCTTTTGTAGACTCGGTTCCTTTAGTTTCGGACTTGTACTCCCCGGCCGATTGTGTTGCCGAACCATAAATATTTTATGCTGCAACGGCTGTGTGCGTGGCCCCTTGTTCGCTTGGTTTTCTCTTAAGTGACACCGGTTTACTGAGAGATACTAATGCAAAAAACAGAGTATTAGTTGCGCATTAGAAGGAGTCATAACCAATACCATCTGTCACCCTATGAGACTAGGGACCACATTTGCTTTTCATTGCTTCGGTATTCCTTGGCGAGCCTAGTAAACATTGTTTTGTTTCTTAACCTATTCTTCCTCGATTTTCTGTGACTGGCCGTCCGGTCGCCACCATAGATAGCGTTCGGGTAATTCGATCTCGTTGACGCAACCTCGATTCTTTGGCACGGGCCATACGGCCATCACCACAGATATAGTTCGGTAGTTCTTTCTACTGGCGGCGTACCGTCGACTAGGTTGGCAAGAGTGGCGTTTTCCCTCTAATTTTTTTGTGCCCGTTTAGCCTTTTTATAAAACTGGTTGTCTGAATCGTCCGGCATTTTGTACGCTAGCTTTTGAAGCTTGGGGTTGTCGCAGATTTTCTTTTGTGTGACCGATTTCTTTTTGAGCCGGTAGTGCTACCCCAATAAGAGGGGATATGTGAATTAGTCACTAATTTATGATTTCCCATACTTTTGGATCTATTTGGAGTTTGGAATGGGAATCTTTCTCAACGAGGGATTTTGAAAAGAATTGTCATTGCCCCACATTTCCAGAAAACCCTCGAATCGAGGTAAGTAACCTTTTGGAACCATTTCGCCACCTAATCAGTGTTCCTCAATTTATGCCGATTTTATTTTAGGGTTTTTTTTTTAATTAGTATTGTACGTATTGTTGCTCCGTTTCCCGCAAACCTTCCACGTGGTTTCTTCTTTCACCGGAATACCAGACCAGGCTTGGTGTCTTGCAGTGTATGCTGTCTCTTGGGTACATGTTTAGTTGAGTTTCCCCTATCAAGCAGCCGGCTTTCCGGACGGACTTTGCTGGGTTAACTGGGACTGCCCACCTGCGGCTGTCCCATTGAGCCACCATTCCATCTTGGCTTGGTTCCCGGGATAGTGACAGACAGCTGTGTAACGTTCGGGACATCTTGAGGTTTGGGTAGCTTAAGTGGCCTGTTCTCTTCAAGAACGGTTTGCGGAACTTATAGCCTTAAATTATAGTGTCTTACATTCTTTTGCACCGCCAAAACTTGAAGGTGAGATTTGACACTCACACCTACCACCAGGTTGAAGGAAATAAATTATTGTTTGTGATTCACTTGTTTATTTCCTTTACGGGTTGGAACCTCGGGTTGATAAGTCTACCTTTTTCGAATCACGTGGCGCCTACCTACCACCTTTCGCGACTGACCGAGGTGCCCTTCACCGCCTTCCAACCTGGCTTTGGTTTAATATATTTTTTTTTCTTTTCTACTTTATTAATTTTTCTCGGTTGTTAATGAGCTAGCCTAGGCATTGTCTTACCTCACTATTAAATTACGAATTTAATTAATTAATGCGTTTCTTTTTCACGACCCTGAGATGGAGAGGTAAGAAGAGGTAAGGAGTAATTATTTATTATTAAGCATATACAGCTCTTTTTTTAACCGAGCCATCCATGGGATTATACGATAAAAAGGCATCGTGAAGAATTAGCGCGTACACCCGTACGCCTTTTGGAAATTTTGTTTTAGCTTCAAACTCCAATTTAATATCCACCGTTGAAGACTTTATGGCTTCCGCGTGGTGGGAACAATCGGTCACAAATATGGGCTTTGCTATGAAATCAGGAAGGTTCAACATGACATCGTAGTTTTCTCGTCCATAGTAGCTCTTCTGAAAATTTTCGTACGAATAATATGCTGGAGCGAAAATTGACTTACTAAAATCTAAATTCCATTTTTCATAGGGGTACACTTCGGAATTTAAATATAACCTAATATCACGAATATTAGCATGAATAAAAGCACTAGAGTCTTTTTGGAACACATCGGAATTCCCGATTTCTTGAAAAGCAATTATTATCTGACGCGGTCTCTCCAGCGAGGTACATGTTTTGATGACCCAAATATCTGAAAATGTCTCACGAAGTGATGGCAATTCATATAAATCCCACATACGAAACGGAATTTTAATGGACGCTCCGTGGGCTCCCCGTGAAAGTTTTGAAAGAAGTTTAATCTTCAATTTATCTTCTGGTACTATATGACGAATTTTCCATTCTATCTTGTCTATTTTTATTTTAGCAGATGTCTCACCTATGTAAGAATTTTTGAAGGTTCTCGCGATAGTTAGAATTAGCTCTTGTTTAACATTGATTATTCCTCTAGTGTAATCTTCTGCAAACCCCATTAAAAATTTTAGAGGAAGTTTCCCAGAGAAAATATTACTAGCTTTATCCAAAATCTCTTGTTTAGTGTCACTGAGACCCCAACCGACCACGCTTAGTCGGGAAGCTTGTGTTTTTCCAAAAGAACCAATAAACTTAAGGGCGGTCGCGATCCCGGGTTTTCTAACGTTAGCCACTTGCTCCCCACCCATTTCATAACGTATTTCATCGAACAAGAACGCCAATGCATTATACGAAAGGTAGCAGAATTTTGAAGGATCCTCCGGTTGAAATTCACCTTCGATGTAAATATAACTTTGAAAATTTACAGGAATTCTAATTTCATCAGAATTTCTATAATTAGGAGATCCGTAAGGTTTATATGTGTGCTCGTGTAGACTGACATAAGAGTTATCAAATATAGGCTCTTCAAAAATATCCAGCTTTTGTCCCAAAGCCATCTTAACTATTTCGTACTCAATTCGTAACCCAATGGATTTTAGGAATTCCAAATCTAACTTATGCAATTTTTTCCGATTAGGCTTACGCAACAAGTCTAAACTCGTTCTTGACTTGTTTGCGTTCGAGTGTTGAATGGCACCTGGTCCTTTCAAGCTCCGATATTTAAAGAAATTATTTGGACTTTTTAGGTAAAAAGACTCGCGATTAAAACAGAAACCCATTGATTTTTTTTTGTTTATATTAAAAAAGTTTCTTTAATTCTAATTTAACTATAATTTTTTCACCCTGAAAATTAATGAGTTCTCCCTGATCATCGACAATTCTTAGAGTAATGTTGTCAATATACTGGCGCCCGTGTGGGATTACAGGTAAATATATTATATTTCGTGGTTCTTTCGTTAATTTATATCCGGGCTCGACATCTATATCGAATTCGAAAAGAACATGAGAGATTTTTTCATTGATGTAAGCCCCCGAAATAATGTTACATTCAACCCGAATCATTCGTACTTTCATTATATTCACAGGGAGCGAAGATTCATGGCGCTTGTGTCTGTCTAAAATCACGGCCTCGAAACCCAAAATGTGTCGAAGTGAGTTATCAACAGTAAAATCAACGAAATATTGAGAATCAATCTCGCATTTAAGAGTATTATTATTTGGTTTTAAGGAAAATATTACCGAATCACCCTCATGTCCACTATTTTTTTCCTTTTTTAGGTAAGACAAAATTACTCTATTAATTTCCTCGATCTCGTACACCCCAGGTGAAAGCTTTATCGTTTTCGATTTACCTTCTCTTTTTTCTCTATATGCAAATACGTTATTATTACAATCTATGTTAAAAATTGAATTATAAGAATAAAAACCTAATAAACCTAAACCATAACTGATATTTTTATCGAGCTCAATTGGAGGAAAAAATCAGGATAAAGGACACTAGACGAGTCTGACAGCGTGAACGTACAAGACATGACTGAAACAACTTCAACGTACTTTATATTTTTTATTGAAAAATAAAAATACTATGACCAATCTTAAACTAGATTAATAATATCACAGGGGCGTGCACCGTCCGCTTCCTGGCGGCATAGAAGAATCCGGAGTATTCCGAGTGAACGTATTGATATCCTCTGTCTTGCAATAACAACAAAAAATACGCCTTGGTGGTGGTCCATCGGGTACATCTCCAATCTCGCGAACATGATGCTGGGTGCAAAACATGTATTGTTGAATATCTCTTTCTTTTTTTAGCTTTTCAGGAAGCTTATCCCATACA